TTGCCGAATGGCGGACGCCTCCTTTCGTCACGGCTTTGAGTACCTTGGATGGTACCAGCGCCTTGTGCAGACCACCCTCACCGACCGCTGTTATCTCACCATGACACAGGCACTACACGCACGTCTTGGTGGATCACCAATTGGCCCTGCCGGCTCTGGGAAAACAGAGACTGTGAAGGCGCTTGGCACGCAAATTGGCCGACACGTGCTGGTGTTCAATTGTGATGAAACCTTTGATTTTGACGCTGTTGGCCGTATTTTCCTCGGCCTTTGCCAAGTGGGCGCATGGGGTTGTTTTGATGAGTTTAACCGACTCGAGGAGCGTGTGCTGTCTGCCGTATCGCAGCAAATCCTGACGATCCAGGAGGCACTTCGAGCCCAGTCCAACACCGTAACGCTCGCACAGCAGACGGTACCACTGCGGGAAAGTGTGGCGTTATTTATCACCATGAACCCAGGCTTTGCCGGCCGCTCAAACTTGCCGGGGAACCTGAAACAACTTTTCCGCACCATGACTATGGCTGCACCGGACCGTGAGACCATCGTGGAGGTCATGTTGTTTGCTCAGGGCTTTCGTACTGCAGAGGCGCTATCTCGGAAAATTGTACCGCTCTTTCATTTGTGTTTAGAGAAATTATCTCAACAGGCGCACTACGACTTTGGGCTTCGTGCTCTGAAGTCTGTTCTCGTGACGGCAGGGAATCTCAGAAGGTCCTCGCGCGACGCCGCAGTCACGAATTTAAATGCACCAGTCACCGCGGCGAGCCTCGAGGAGGTGGAGGGTGAAATGGTGTTGCAGAGTCTCATCAGCAGCATCACGCCTCGTCTTGTGACAGAGGATTTGGCCCTATTTTACCCCTTGTTGCGGGACTTTTTTCCAGGACTCCCACTCCCTGGTGCAGCCATGACGAAATTGCGTGCGGCAATTGAAGAAGTGTGCCGCGCCACCCACTACATTCCAACACCAGCGTGGGTTGAGAAGATCTGTCAGCTTTACCACACACGCAAGATGCGACACGGCCTCATGTTGGTTGGACCAAGTGGTACGGGGAAAACGCTCTGCTGGAAGACGCTGCTGCGCGCCATGGCGCGACTCCCTGTGGCAGGTGATGATGGTGATGACGATGAGGGTGATGTAAGTGGTGTCAAAGAGGGTACGGACCGAAGTGGTCCACTAGAGGCGCATGCATACGTGATTGATCCCAAGGCAATGAGCAAGGCAGAACTCTTTGGCGTATTTGAAGCCACCACACGGGAGTGGAGGGACGGTGTCTTTACGGAGATTCTTCGCCGTATCGTCAACAACGAGATGGGCGGTGACCGCTCACGTCAGCAGCATTGGATTGTTTTTGATGGTGACGTCGACCCTCATTGGGTAGAGAACCTAAACTCCCTTCTGGATGACAATAAAATCTACACCCTACCCAACGGCGAGCGTCTCAGTTTACCGCCTTCTGTGCGTATTGTGTTTGAGGTTCAAGACCTGCGCTATGCGACGCCGGCGACGGTGTCACGCTGCGGTATGATTTGGTTTAATCGCGGTACCGTCCCAATATCCAGTGTCCTAAGCCGTCACTTCAATGTCTTCTACCGTGCCCCATTGATTGATAGGCACGGCAAAAAGCAACTTGCTAGTGTCGCCTACGATGGTGAGGATTACAAGACGCGATCGGGTGGAAATTGTTTTATGGTCCAACGCATTGGTGTGGATCGCGGAGAGATGCTTGTAGACACGTTGAAGGAAACGCAGGGAATAAAACCGGAAGAAATAGAAAGAGAGACCGCTAGTCCCGCAAGTAATATCCCTGTTGCTGCGTCCAAAGAACACGTTACCCCTAGCGACCAAAGTAGCCAGAAGGAGACATCATTGTGGTATTCGAGCGCTCTCACGGATGTGGATCGGGATGTACTGCAGCTGCAGATATCCATGGCAAATGTGTGGGCCCCTGCCTTTGCCAAAGATGGCCTGGTGGAACTTGCCGTCCGGCTCATCCACAGTGAACGGTATTGGAAGCAGGGTATTATGGAGCACGATGACCTACAAATGCTACGTAGCGTACAGTCCTTGTTGCTTGATGGGGTTTCTCGCATCTGGAGGCTGCGTGAACAACAGGGGAAATTGCCCACGATGAATATTCTGGAAAAGTACGCGGCGAACGTGCTTCAATACGCCATTTTATGGGGATTTACGGCCTCACTAAGCCATGAACTTCGTCGACGCTGGATGGAAGAATTATCTCTTGCTGTGGGATCAGCATTTGGCGGGGGATTGGCCAACGGCCTTTCATTGCTGGATGTTGAGCCGGACCCCATAATCGGTGAGTGGCGTGCTTTCCGTGAACGTGTGCAGGACACTGTCATTACGGCCGATCAGATGGGAGCAAACGATGTGCTCATTCCTACGGTTGACACATGTCGTCATGAGGGGATCCTGCGGGCGTGGATTGCCGGAGGTAACGCGGCGATTCTTTGTGGACCGCCTGGATCCGGCAAGACGATGTTAATTGCATCGATTCTGCTCCAGTCCTCCGAATATGATGCAGTGTTTTTAAACTTTTCAAGTGGAACAGAGCCAAAAAACATTATTCGTGCGTTGGAGCAGTACTGCAGTGTACAAAACACGAGACGTGGCCCTGTTATGTCTCCCACCAGTGGCAAAGTACTTTTATTGTTTTGTGATGAGATTAACCTTCCGGCGTTGGATCAGTACGGGACTCAGTCCGTTGTGCAACTGCTGCGTCAACTAATTGAACGGCGCGGCTATTACCGCAGTTGTGACAATGCATGGATCACCGTTGAGGGGGTACAGGTGATTGGCGCCTGTAATCCACCGACTGATGCGGGACGCGTGCCACTTTCACATCGGTTTTTGCGACTTGCACCCGTTTTATTTGTGGACTTCCCTACAAAAGAAAGTCTCCATATCATCTACACGTCATACTGTCGTGCCATTCTTGCCTTTAACGCCCAGCTGCAGAGTTCGCATGCGGAAAAGTTGGCGTCGGCTATGGTGGACGTGTACACGGCAACGCAGGTGCACTTCACTTCATGGCAGCAACCGCACTATGTCTACTCCCCACGTGACCTCTCGCGCTGGGCACGTGCTGTCCACAGTGCCTTCCTGACGTGGGAGGAGTCTGAGCGACACAAGTTGCGTGTGGAGGGACTTGTGCGTCTTTCCGTACACGAGGGATTACGTATCTTTCAGGACCGGTTGGTGGAGCGTGAGGAGCGGGATTGGACCGACTCCACCATTGACCGCGCCTTCACCACACATTTCCCTGAAATTACTTTGGCGTCAGTTTATCCACCTTCTCTTCAGCGGCCCGTGTTGTACTCTACAATATTGCGGCCCTCGTACATGGAGAACGCACGGGACGAGTTGCGTGCACACATCGAACAGAAACTGGAGGCGTTCTGTGAGGAGGAAGTGGACACCGCACTTGTTGTCTACGATGCAATGATCGATCATGTCACACGCATCAATCGTGTCCTGCAGCAGCCGTTGGGCCACATGTTGATTGCGGGATCTTCTGGTGTGGGGAAAACAATCATTGCCCGGCTTGTTGCGTGGATGAACGGCATGACGGCGGTTCGTCTTGGTGTTCACCGCAATTATCAACTGGACGACTATGAACGGGACCTGCGCGACATACTGCGACGTGTCGGATGTAAACTGGAGCGCATATGCTTTATTTTCGACGACAGCAACATCATGGAGGCGAGTTTCTTAGAGTACATGAACGCCCTCCTGGCGTCGGGTGAGGTTCCCGGCCTGTTTGACGGCGAGGAATGGGGGAAACTTATGGAGGAAATACGCGAGAGCGTTGTAGCGCAGCAGTGCCTCAAGGCAAGCAACAAGCCGCAGAATTTGCCACAGGAGGAAGACGATGATGACTCACAAGGGCGACACCAACAACAACCACAACAACAAAAACAAAAACAAACGTCGATGTTGCCCTCATCCCACAGCAAATCAGAGGATGCAGCCAGTAGTCATGGCATCTCGGCCCCGCAACGGGAGGCGCTTGATACGATGGACTCTGCCGTTTATGTTGACACCAAATCCGAGCAAGAGTTATATCGCTGGTTTCTGAGTAATGTGAAACGCAATCTCCACGTCATCTTTACGATTGACCCCTCCTCCGGGGAATTTGTGAGTCGTGCCGTGTCGAGTCCAGCTCTCTTTAACCGTTGCACCATAGACTGGTTTGGAGACTGGGACCGTGACACACGCCATCAGGTAACACGTCGGCTCACACAACCGATTGATATCATGTTCTCCTTTGAGAAGACGTTTCAGAAACGCGAGGACGAGGCACGCGATGCACTGGCCGATGCCATCTGCGGCATACATGAAATCACGGATGAGGTGAACCGCGTGGTGCGACTGCAGAATGCGCATCAAGGGACATTTATAACGCCGCGTCACTTTTCCGACTGTGTGCAGCAGTTACAGCTCCTGTACGAGGAGAAGCGGGGTGGATCGAAGGAGCAGGTTCTACACTTGCGCACTGGTCTTGCCAAGCTGGATGCGGCGTCGGAGGAGGTTGAACAGCAGCGAGCCAAACTACGCGAGCATGAGGCCGTGCTAGCAACGAATAGTAAAAAGGCGCAGACGATGCTGGATTGCATTGTCACGGACACGGAAACAACAAAGCAGGAGAAGCAGGCGGCTGAACGTCTTCGTCAGCAACTGCAAGAAGAGGAGGAGATGATAGTCACCGACAAGGCGCGGGTTCAACAGCAGTTGTCAGAGGTGGAACCGGCACTGCGGGAGGCGGAGGTTGCACTAAACACTATTAAACCGGAGTACCTCCGCGAGATTCGTGCCTACACAACCCCACCGCAGATGGTCAAACGTGTGCTGGAGGCCGTGCTTGTCGTCATGGGCGAAAAGAGGGCAGATGAGTGGGATGTTATCAAGCACCACATTCGTCGTGACGACTTTCTCGCCGGGGTGAAGGCCTTTGAACCCCGCCGCATCACAGAGGAAGCGCGCCTGACGGTGTGTACAATGTTGCAGGAGGAGGATTTTACATACGAGGCAGCGCGGCGTGCATCCAAGGCAGCTGGTCCGCTGCTACAGTGGGTGCAGGCGCAAGTAAATTATGCGGCGATATTAGCCGCCATAGGACCACTGAGAAGCCGGATTGATCATCTTACCAAGGTCCACGGTGCCAAACGTGCCCAGCTTCAGCGCACCGAGGTGGAGATTGCGACCATGGAGGCATCGCTGTTGCAGCTCAAGAAGGGATACCAGGAGGTGACAGAGGAGATTGCGGCAATCAAAAACACGATGAACGGAGTTGCCGCGCGCTGTGAACGGGCCACAACACTGCTGCGGCAATTGTTTGACGAACGTGGGCGCTGGGAAACCGAGGCGATGGGTTTTGACTCCGAAGTGCGTACAATTTTAGGGGACTGTATCCTTGCCGCCGCATCGCTGGCATACTTTGGCTACTTTGACGAGCATGCGCGGCAGTCTTTGCTCTTTCCCCGCTGGCGTCAGTGCCTGCAGCAGCTGCAAATCCCTTTTCGTGAAGATTTTCGCAGTGTTGTGGAATACCTTGTGACACCGCAGGAGCGGCTTTCATGGGAGCAGTATGGGTTGCTCAAGGATCATCTCTGTGTGGAGAATGCAATGATCCTTAGTCGTTGCCAGCGTTACCCGCTTCTTATTGACCCAAATGGTGTTGCGGTGACGTTTCTTTTGCAGCGGTATGCGAAGGATAAAATAAACACGACAAGCTTTAGCAAGACGGGATACCTGAAACATTTGGACATGGCGGTGCGCTTTGGTTACCCCATTCTTATGCAGGATGCAGAATTTATTGATCCAGCACTTAGCCCTCTCATCAATCAAGAAATACACCGCGTCAGGGGCCATGCATTGACGCGGTTGGGGACACAAGACGTGGAAATTGCGGCGGCATTTCGTCTTTTTCTCGTGACGCGTGACTCACACTATCAGCCATCTCCCGGTATGGCCGGACAGGTGTGCCTCATCAACTTCACCGTGACACAGTCATCGCTGCAGTCGCAGTGCCGAAGTCGTCTAATGCTACATGAACACTCTGAGCTGGATGTTCGTCGGGCGAACATTTTGCGTGCGCAGGGGGAGTACCAGCTGAGGCTGCGGGTGTTGGAGCAGGAGCTGCTTACCTCCATTGCACACTGCGAAGGGAGTCTGCTAGAGAACGACGCCTTAACCGTCGCATTGGAGCGTTTGAAAGGAGAAACCGAGTCGCTTAAAGCCGGCATTGCGGAGAGCGAAGCATCCATGCAAGCCATCACGGAGGTCGAGGCGCAGTACCAACCGCTCGCGGAGGTAGTGGCAAAAATGTACTTTGCCTTGCGTCGTTTCTCACGGTTGCACTGGTTGTATCAGTTTAATGTGGACTTTGTTTTTCGTCTTCTTGCCGACGCTTTGGCAGCACTCCCTGCACGTTCCACGGATGTCAGTAGGGTTGATGAGCGAGAAGAGGATGCAGCACGTCTGCAGGTACTAACACACCACGTTTTTAACCTTGCTCACCAACGGGTGCGACGCGGGATGTTTGTGCAGGACCATCTTGTACTTGCCATCCTACTTGGTAAACTGCGTAGTGGGATTGATGACCGCGTGGGACGCCAAATCACCGTGGAGGAATGGGGCTGGTTTGAAGATGTCTTGCACAACCCTGCAAAGGACGCACGCGACATGACTGCCTTCGCGGGTGGCAGGGACGTTGCGTCGCATACGGTACCAGTCATTTTACGCGAGTGCGGTGTGTGTGCGTCCTCTTCGGAGTTAGCCCTTGCGGCATTGTTGCAACGGCCACTGTTTGCCGAGCTGCGGGCGTCTTTGTTGAATCCGCGACACGCGGAGGCATGGCGGGGGTACTTTGAGGCCGCCGCACCGTACACCGAGGAAATGCCGGCGTTTAACATCAGTGAATGCAACCGTGCCGGCCATCGCGATCATCGGGAGTACACCCGTCGTGCATTCACCGCTGCCCTTTTGCTGTTTTACACACGCCGGGATGCATTTGCGCCAGCCGTTCAGGAATTTCTTCGTCGCTTTTTTGGCGGAGATCCGGACGAAAAAAAGGATGAGAAGATCAATGAAAGCTCCTTTTTTACAGCGGAGGCACCTGATCTTGCCGTTGTGCATGCAGAACTCTCCGACAGCACACCACTCATTCTGGTGGCAAACGCCGGCAGCGATCCGACGTTGACGTTGGAGGCGTTGGCCCGGGCGTTGGATGTGCCGCTGCGGGTCGCTGTGATGGGCAGTTCCACCGGACTGGACATGGCGGGGCGTTATCTGAAAGACGCTATGGTAGAAGGAACATGGGTGCTTTTGAAGAATATTCACCTCGCACGGGCATACGCCGATGTTGTGGAAAAATGGCTGCATCGAGAACGGTCGGAGGGACGATTGCACCGTAACTTTCGTCTCGTTCTCTCAATTGAGGCCGCCCCAGGCATTCCTGGCAGCAGTTTTGCTACGAGTAGAAATAATAGTAATAACAGCCGTACGAAACATTTTGATGAGTCGCTGGTGGAGCTTCCTGTGAGCCTTGTAGAGGCATCTGTGGTGCTAGTGTACGAGCCTCCGCCTGGGATGAAGTCATCTTTGTTGCAGACAGTGGGAGCGTTAAAGCCTCACTCCAGTTTCGCGAAGCAGCCTGTAGACATTCAGCGCATTTACCTTGCCGCGGCCTGGTTGCATGCGGTAGTTATGGAACGGCTACTGTACATTCCTATGGGGTGGAGTACGCAGTATGAGTTTAATGACACCGAGTTTTGGCGTATTTTACAGACCGTGGACAGTTGGGTGGGAATTACTAGTAGAAGCAGTGGTATGGACGGCAAAAAAGGGATTGACCGCGCCAGTGTCCCATGGCCAGCACTGCAAACAATTATTGGGACAACATTATACGGCGGTAAAATCAGCAACGAGTTCGATCAGCTGCTTCTTGACTTCTTATGTTCACAGCTCATGAGCGCGGCTGTTTTCGATGATGATCGCTTTTTTGCCTTAACGGAGGACGATGAAATCAACTCCCGTCTCAGATGTCGTTCGATCGAATCGCTGCAGGATGTGCAAGAGTGGGTGCGAGCGCTGCCGGATGCACAGACGCCGTTGTGGGCGCGCCTTCCTGCCAGTGCTTCACGCGTCATGTCGGCGCAGCACGCAGTCGCGACGATTGAGCGTCTGGCGGCTGTGAGGCTCATCGAGGAGGGGGACAATGACGGCACAAATACCGACAATGAGGAGGAACTTTTTGTGCAGCAGGCCGCACCACGCAGCATTGGGGAGACACGCTGGGGGCAGAAAATTCAACGCTTCTGCAAAATGTGGCGTCACTCGCTCACCGCACTTGGGTGCATGAGACCGCAAAGAACTACCGTGACAACTTCATTTTCTGCAACGGCAGCAGTGGAGACCACGTCAAGCAATAATACTAGCCTGGAGCCTACGGTAATAGCCATACAGCGGGAGTACACCTTTGCGCTGGAACGCCTAGGTGAAATTCTTGACGATCTTGAAGCGCTGGAAGATATCTGTGCTGGATCACGGAACCCAACAGCGACACAGCGTGTCCTAATAGACCATGTGCTGATGGACCAGGTGCCACCACGCTGGGCCCGCTCCTACCACACATTTCCAACGACAGCCGACCAGTGGATTTCTGACTTCCGGAGCCGCGTTGCGCAGGCCCAATTAATGCATGAGGCTGTGGAAAACAAGACATTTGGTAAAAAATGTCTTTCGCTTGGTCTTCTTTTCTGGCCTGGGGCGTTTCTTACGGCGACAAAGCAGCAGGCGGCACGTCGACAACATCGCTCGCTTGAACAGCTGCAGCTGCGGCTGGAACTTATGTCGGAGGAAGCGGCGCAAATCCACGCTGCAAACAACATTGAAGAGTCTCACACGTGGCACATTGTCGGTCTCACACTTTTTTCCGCCCGCCTTGAAGCGAATTGTGGCACGTGTGAACTTCTCCCTGCCACATCCGGTACCTCCTCCACACCTGTCGGCGCTTTGCTCTCCTGGGAGCCGATCCCGGCGGCCACAGCGGATGAAGTTTTGTTGCCCGTGTCGAAGACGTCCCTGTTGATGCGATTGCTGTCGCAAAACCCGATGAGTAGATGCTTCGCGACACCGTTTTACGTGAACCCCCGACGAGATTCGATGCTTGAAGTGGTGGAACTCACAGTGGACCCCGTCCATTCGCCGATGCGGGCGTGGTACGAGCGCGGTGTTTGTCTCGTTGCCTGGTCCGAGGCGGAACGTTGAATGCAGCCAACTTGAGAGGACCCCTCGTGTGGGACGAGGCCCGCGCCATCAAAAAGCCAAAGAAGAAGAAAAAAGAAGGTAGAAAAGCAAAGTAGAATAAGACAGTAGTTTAGGAGGGTGAGTACGCAGCGCCTGTTTTCAGCTGCATGCACGCATATGCGTGCATGGGAGAGAAAAAAAAAAGGGGAGAAGAAACACTTTTGGATGGGTAAATAGGCGTTTGCCTCTCTCCTTTTTTTTGCACTAAAGTGGTGGTAGCAGGGAGTAAGTTAGAAGGAAGTGAGCAGCATAAAAGCTAGTGTGCATCGAATAAACAAGCTGCTGTTTGACGAAAAACATGTCAAATATGGACGGCAGCACCTTCTCGCTCACGATTGTGGGGAGCGGTTGCTCCACCGGCGTACCTGTGATTGGGCATCTTTCAGGCAACTGCGCGTGTGCCGTGGCGATGCGGGATGCGGAGGGGCCAAACAGGCGCAACAACGTCAGCCTCCTCATTACGGTCCCATCACCTCATGGCGGCAGCAGCGGTGACGGTCGTGGCGTGAGACGTGTTCTTATCGACTGCGGCAAGACATTTCGCGACGCGTACTTCCGCGTGCTTGCAAAGCACCAAGTGCAGACTGTTGACGCCCTGCTCCTCACACACGATCACGTCGACGCCGTGGGTGGTTTGGACGACATGCGCGACCTGCAGCGAATGTCGCTAGATGGCCACGATAACTGGTTTGTCAAGCAGTACATCCCGACTTATGCCTCGGCAAAGACGATGAATGCGCTGCGGTGTCAATTTGGGTACATACACCGCAACAGCCGCGTGATGGGGTTCGCGCCACGGACCGCGGAGGAGCATGAGTCGATCATGCAGCGTGTTGCCGAAGAGCGCGAGCGTGCGGGTCTGACAAACAACATTGGGACACGCCGTTCCACCGCCCTGGAGCTGTTTACATTGCCAGACGACACGCCGACGCCATTTTGCATCCCCGCGCTTGGTGCCGACTTCAAGTTCCATGCTGTACCGGTGGAGCACGGTGCGGGGTACGTGGCTCTTGGTTTTGTGTTTGGTCGTGGCGTTGCGTTTCGCAGTGCCGGTGCCACTGGCGCCATCGTCGCAAACCACAGCTGTGTCGTGTACCTCTCCGATGTGAGCACTGTGCCCGCGGCTGCCATGATGTTCCTGCAGGATCTTGTCAAGATCGACGTGCTTATTGTTGATCTTTTGCACGGACCCGGTTATCGGTACGAAACGCACTACTGCATGGATGATGTGATAAAGCTTGTGGCGTCTCTTCAGCCGACTTGCACGTATACGATTGGTATGTATTGCGATGTGGAGCATGAGCGAGGTAATCAGCAGCTACGAGAACGACTGGAAGAACTGCGATGCAGCGGCAAATGCGGCAGCAATGTTCTCTCTGTAGAGCTGGGGTTTGATGGACTTCACATCCTGTTGCCGCTATGAGATGTTTTTTTTTTTTTTTTGCGAGGGCGGTTGGGGAAGGAGCAGGTGATTGCATTCCATTTTGCAATATTCCTTACGTGACTGTGCGTTTTTGCGCTTTAATGCGTCGCCGCACATGATGTGAGCATTTCTGCATTTGTTTGATTCCTTCGTACCCGTGGGTGTGAAGATGTATTGGTGAATGGCACCATCATGCAGCCAGAGGATGTCTTAGCTTATGCCTGAAGCCCGGAGTCGCCTATCAGTCTTTTTTGTGTGTGTTTTTGTGTGGGTGGGGGGAAAGCGGTTGCTCCACCGGCGTACCTGTGATTGGGCATCTTTCAGGCAACTGCGCGTGTGCCGTGGCGATGCGGGATGCGGAGGGGCCAAACAGGCGCAACAACGTCAGCCTCCTCATTACGGTCCCATCACCTCATGGCGGCAGCAGCGGTGACGGTCGTGGCGTGAGACGTGTTCTTATCGACTGCGGCAAGACATTTCGCGACGTGTAATTCCGCGTGCTTGCAAAGCACCAAGTGCAGACTGTTGACGCCCTGCTCCTCACACACGATCACGTCGACGCCATTTTGCATCCCCGCGCTTGGTGCCGACTTCAACTTCCATGCTGTACCGGTGGAGCACGGTGCGGGGTACGTGGCTCCTGGTTTTGTGTTTGGTCGTGGCGTTGCGTTTCGCAGTGCCGGTGCCACTGGCGCCATCGTCGCAAACCACAGCTGTGTCGTGTACCTCTCCGATGTGAGCACTGTGCCCGCGGCTGCCATGATGTTCCTGCAGGATCTTGTCAAGATCGACGTGCTTATTGTTGACCTTTTGCATGGAACCGTAGGAATTATCATAAAACTATGCTTCTTTTACGATGGAATTTGTCGCGTTACATGACGTTTCTGCCTCCACTTTGCACATCTGGTGTGGGTGTCCAATTTATGACGGAACATAATGCGGAGAATGCAGATGGACGTGAGGCGGTAGGTGAAGTTGCTGTGTGATGAGAAAACAATTTTAGAATGTGTGGTGTTGAGCTGCGATGGGCAAGGGCTTTTTAATGGACTAAAGAACAAGGGGTGTATGGGGGTACAGTGTGCCTGCATCTTCATCGTGTACTTACAATTTAAGAAGCAATACATAAAATTCTTATATATATATATACACACACAGGATGATGTTATTTGTTTGTTGGATGTGGTTGTGTCCCTTTCTTTTTTTTTTTTTTTTTTAATCTTTCCCCACCCCCCTGTATTACATTTATTGTTTGTAGTTGGTTTGCTTGTTCTGGACGCTACGCAAATGGCGTCAGTGTTCTACATCTTAGACAGCAAGGGTGCCCCGCTCATCTGCCGCTCGTACCGTGGCGACATTCAGCAGAACCCGCCGGAGGTATTTCAACGCCGTGTTCTGGACGAAGAGGAATTTCGTGTTACACCTGTGTTTGAGGAACAAGGCCATACGTACTGTTTCATTCGCGTGAATGATGTCTTCTTTTTGATGGTTAGTAAGATCAATATATGTCCTGTACAGCAAATTGCTTACATGCATGCATGCACCAAGGTGTTTGAAGGATATTTCAAACGTGTCTCTGAAGAGACCGTTGTGGATAACTTCGTTATTGTATATGAGCTTCTGGATGAGATGTGTGACTTTGGCCTACCACAGTACACGGAGGCGAAGGTATTGAAGGAATATATCACACAAGAAGGCCTTATCTCGTATTTAATGCCGGAAGAGAAATTAACTGTGAAGGCCCTGCCAGCAGCGGTGACGGGTGTGGGTGGGGGAACACCGTGGCGTATGCCGGGGAAGTACAAATACCGCAGGAACGAGGTGTTTTTAGACGTGGTGGAAAGCGTCAGCCTTCTCGCGTCGCCGGAGGGGGAAACGCTCTCCAGCGAAGTTGTGGGCCAACTGAAGATGCGGGTTCGACTCTCCGGCATGCCCACGCTGAAGCTCGGCCTGAACGACAAGGCTGTGCTTGGAATGACACGGCGACAAGGGCGACTGATCGAAATGGCCGACGTGAAGTTCCATCAATGTGTACGCCTCGATCAGTTTGAGAGCGACCGCATCATCACCTTCATCCCACCCGATGGTGAGTTTGACCTCATGACATACCGCACAAGCAAGAAGATCACCCCACTTGTGCATGTGGACTGTGCATGTGTCAGCATGAGTTCGACGCAGGTGGAAATGCACATCACAGCCCGCACAACATTTCGGCGCAACACGACGGCAGACTTTATTGACATCCTCATTCCCATCCCAGGCGATGCGGATAAACCGGAGGCGAAATGTTCTCTGGGGAAACTCCGCTACGCGCCAGAGTCGAGTGTACTCATCTGGAGCCTACGTAACACTGGAGGGGGAAAGCAGTTCAGCTGCCTGTGCAAATTTCATCTGCCGTCAGTACGCAGCAGCGATCCAAAGGCTCTTCAGAAGGCACCCATCCAAGTGAAGTTTGAGATTCCGTTCCTCACCGCCTCCGGCTTCCAGGTGCGCTACCTGAAGGTGATGGAAAGGTCCAACTACGAGGCGCTGCCGTGGGTCCGGTACGTCACACAAAGCGGGGACTATCAGATAAGAACATATTGAATGAGGAAAAAAGGAAGAAGTGCAAGCCATTTTGACTGACGGCCATTCACATACACGCTTACATACATATAACGACACCGATAGAGAGAGAGAGAGAGATTTAAAAAAAAAAAGTGAAATATCTCGCTCATTGTAAGGAAGGACGGAATTTAAAAGGAGGAAGAGAGGGAGAAAAATTTATTTTATTTTTTTACTGCTATTATTGGTTGTTGTTGTTGTTGTTGTTGTTGTTTTAATGTGTTCCGGAGAATAGTGGGACGGTGGCAGCTGCACACACATGTACACATACATACATGTACTGGTGTCTGTTTATTTATAGGATGATCCCGACGTTCTGAATTATTTCTCTTTTGGGTGTACGTCTGTGTGTGTGTGTGTATTGTTGCTGTTTTTTTTTTTTTTTTTTTTTTTTTTTTACCTACTCGCCTACGTGTGAATTGAGCATATCATCATAAAATGTTGCCTGTCCATATCCCATATACATGTATATATGGATATGGATATGAAGAGGCGACGTTGTGCAGGCGGGAAATTTATGGGAATTAAAAATAAAAGTGGTCTCATTTTTTACACTTTATTTTCCACTTTTTACCTTTTTTTTTTTTCTTCTTGGTGTTTTCTTTTATATTTATTTTTTTTTTTTTTTTCTGCTCCTTCAACGAGGACTGGGAGGAGGTATGAGCGGCACGTCCGATGAGGAGGAAGATGCCGAAAGGTCGCCGCCAATTCGACCGATCACCATGACGCCGCTCCACTCGGACTTATGGCCCACGGTGCCACGGAGCGCGAGGGGAACTCTATTCGGCGATACCGAAAGCAGCAGCAGCAGCAGCAGCAGCAGTAGTGGTGGCGGTGGTGTTACGCGCCCCATCATGGCCGTGGTGGATACAGGCAGCATCACCGTTGATTTGTCTGAGCCATCGCCCCCTCACGTGGAGGCGGAAGGGGCGGAAGAAGAGGCGGAGGTGGAGACGCACAGACGCGTTCCATGGGGAGCCTCTGACGACGGAAAAACAGTGCCGTCGACCGCTGCCACAATGTCGCAGTGGGAACAGCGGTACAAGACTCTGCTTCCGTTAAACTGGGGAAGGCGGTTGGAGGTTATTGTCATGTTGGCCAGAGACACCGTTGACGGCTGCCTTGTCACCACACGGCGCTACCGATATTGCTACGAGACCGATGCGTCACCGGCGGAATTTCTGGAAAGCGGGGATAAGTCGTGTATTCCCTTTACAGCGGCATGGAAAAGACGCATTTATGGCCTGCTGAGTCTCCGTCATGCAAATGTGAGCCCGGTAACAGACGTGCTTATTGACGAGGAACGGCAGGAGCTGTTGCTCGTGCACCCATATGTGGACGGCATGCAGCCACTAGTCTCTGTCCTTCAGCGCCATCCTCACATGATACATCGTGAACTGACCCCGTCCATGCTCATGCGCATTTTGCAGGAGGTAGTTGACGGTTTGCTCTTTTTGCACCAACACGGTGTTGTGCATGGCGCATTATCACCATGGACTGTTCTCCTTGACGCAGAAGGCCATGCGTCGGTGACGGGGTTTGCGGTTTCAGAGGTGCGGCCATGCCCACGCGGCATTGTTCCCGCTGGAGGCGCAACGCATCCATTTTACGTAGCACCGGAAGCCAAACATCCGTCGTCTCGCTGGCGCCATGTCACAGTGGCCGGTGACGCCTTTGCCGTTGGTGCCCTCACATTTGCATTGACGTGGGAGAGGCAAGACGCGGCGTACGTTGCCCTTCGACACTCTATGGTGGGGGTGATGCACGGCGATCCCAAACAACGGATGAGCCTCCATGAACTCGCGCTGCTCGTTTCAGAGCTCGCGTCACAGAACACACTGAACGAGACGGCCTCCCGGGAGTTGAGAGGGTGGCGGTTGTCGGCATCCACCGCCGGGGACCCGGCAGTGTTGCCAAGAGGGAACGAGCATCGAAGTCCATCGTTACCCTCTGCAGCTTCCGTGGTGGGAATTTTGCAACGAGACCCCTCTCCCGTGCTCTACCGCATGACGGGGCTTGAGAAATGGAAAAGAACAGCAAACACAACAGCCGCCACAGAGAGGCGGATGACACAGAGAAAAAGAAGTCATCATAGTCCGGCCCGTCAGGTTTTACACCGATGGCGCGTTGTTTCTACAGCCGTGTTTTTCTGCGTCATCGTTGTTCGCAAGGGCAGAGAACGTCGGCAGGCCCTGGCGGCACGGTTGTTCGCACCTGCACGACAATTACAGCTGAAAAAATTGCGGTTCATTCATTCCAATGGATCCCCTTTGGCGTCGGTGCTGTCGACACCGCGCCCACGGAGACCCACGACAGTTGAGAAGCGTCGATCCACCCGAGGCGGCAGTATGGACAAGTGAAAAAGGGGGGAAATGAAACAACGGTGCTTGCCTTTTTACGGTTCCGTCGCAATAAAATCTACTCTGTGGTGCGGGTTGGAAGTGTGTGACTGCGCGGATCCATTGGGACCTCCATGTTGTTTGTATTTGTCAGTCTCTCTTCATTGTTTATACCGTGGCGGTCTCTGAAGGAAGACCTCATGGCAGAGTCCATTGGACACCTATAAACGACAGAAGTCTCTGCTCTTGAGATGGCATGAGGCGGCGAGGGAAAATGTGTGAATAAAACACATGATGTCTCCGCTATAAACATATTTTTTATTAATTGTCATCACAGTCAGAATTCCTCGGTTTTTTTTTTTTGTTTGTTTGTTTGTTTGTTTCTTTTCCTTTTTATTTTTGTTGTTGTTTTTTTTTCTTTTTCTTTTTTTTTTTTATTGTTTGGGGTCTTGCTTTTTCTTTTTTATCTTTTACTGCTGCGTCTGTTGCTTGTTTTTTGTTTGTTTGTTTGTTTGTTTGTTTGTTTCCTATTGTCACAGGAGTACACACAATGTGTACGTACGTATGTGCACATACAAGAAAAGTTAATCTTCAGCGTTGTGGGATTATGAGTTTTTTTATTCCCTAAAAATTTACGCAGCTGTGATTTTATGTTGTGTATCATTATTTATGCCATTTTTCTTTTTTTCTATTTTGTGTGTGTGTGTTTATTAGTCGGTGTTTATATTTATTGATGGCGCGTGTCGGCACTACCGCTGCCGCTGTCGCCCGCTGCACACGACGCATTCGCGCCCCGCTGGATCACCTCATCATGAGTCCGTCTGACCCCGATCAAGTCGTGACGGCGATACGTACGACGGATGCCGCCATTGTCACATGGTACATGCCGCTGGCGGAACTTCAGCGTGTCCTGCATCGGCGCTATGAGGCGGAGCAGTTCGGCGAGCTGACATGTCCGTCCACAACCTCGGCGTCCTCCTCGACGGGGCAACAGTCGCCAAACGATGGCACGGCGGATGCGTCCGATGGTGCTGGTGGTGGGACTGTCCCGCTTGGTTTTTTGACGCTTGTGGCGGGGAGGAATTACCCGCTGAAGCAGACATGGCTGGAGCGTTGCTTTGACCCCGCGCCGCATCCAACGCTGAGCCTTCGCGTCGCCGTGATGGACCGCATTCACTGGCAGCGCACCGCATGGATGGCAAATTCCATCTGCAGGAGCATCTGTTGGGGGAGGCTCCCACAGAAAATTTTTTCCGTCAACCTCGATTGGAAGAATGACGTTTGCATAGATGCCACCTTTGACGCCGCCGCGGACCGCTACACCGCGCCCTACGAACTACGCGTCCCCGGCCTTGGCTTCCACCTGACGCTGCAGGACACGGGAACAACACTCCTTGACCCGACATCACGGATAGTGGACGGGTTCCTTGACAATGAGAGTGCACTGCACCGTCTGTCGCTTGCCCGCGAGGTCAACATGCAGGGCCTCGGTGGGTCTGTTTACCGACAGATGCTCTGGAGCACCCCTTCACTGCCCAACAACGCAGAAGTTGTGCGTTTTGACCCTGGTACACTTTTCAAACGGTGTTTTGGCGTAGACCCTCCCGTGGCAAAGCCGGTGGCGGCGTGGTTGGTGCAGGAGGTGGAGAAGACGCTACTGTACAGAATGGAGGGCGAGGTGGAAGACGAAAACGATCCCAACAGTGCCACGACGTATGGCGATCGCTCCCTCACTGAGCGTGTGCAGAAAAAGGCGATGAACCGATACAACGGCTTCCGTGATGAGGTGCGTGGAAAGGTTTACAGTGATTTAGACGGGAGGGAGCTGCCACGGTAAATGAAACGAGAGAGGGAAAATGGCCAAGTAAAGTAAACAGCAAATAATGAAATGTATATACATATATATACGAATGCTACCCAAATTGCTGTTGCTGTTGCTGTTGTCGTTGTCGTTGTCGGTGGTGGTGGTGGTATTTTCTTTGGATTGTGGGTTTTTTTTTTTTCCCCTGTACTGTCATTTACAAACCAGAAGGGAGAAGAAGGGCACATTTATTTGTTTGTTCACCCCCCCCGTTACCCTCCACATATGACGACGTACCGCAAGCAAATTGTGGGGAAGTATGAATTAGGGAAGGTCCTTGCATCCGGTTACTTTGACTGTCGAACGCGTCTCTGCACGCACATTGTGACAGGGGCTCAGTACGTGGTGCGCATCTACAACAAGAGTGTGTTGGCCGAGGCGCAGTGGATGTGGGACCGCACCCGGGATGCCATCAATGTCATGCGCACGCTGCCCAAACACGAGAATCTCATTGAGACGGTTGAATGTTTTGAGACTCAGACCTCTCTGTATATTCTCATGCAGCTGTTCGCCCCGCTGCAGGTGACGAAGCTATACACTAGTGAAACGGCCTCCGGGCATCGTGTTATGATTCCCATTCAGCAAACCAAACATTACTACGCCCAGGTGGTCCGCGGGCTACTTCACATGCATGAACACAATGTCGTGCATCTCGGACTTGCCCCGGATCATGTGATGGTAAATGATCGGGATCAGGTGAAGATTGGGTACCTTGTCTCCTGCGCATACTTCCCAAAAGGGGAAATGTGTCATGATATTCGCGGAACGACACACACAGTCGCACCGGAAGTGCTGCGGAATGAAGGATATGACCCCTACCTTGCCGATGCGTGGTCCATGGGAGTGTTGCTGTATTTCATGCTGCACCACGGCCGATACCCGCACGATGGTGCCAACACAACGAAGAATATTATGTACAACCGCATCCGTCCCCCCGATCCCACCCTCTCCCCAGACGCGAGGGACCTCCTGGCACGGCTCTTGCATCCCACACCCTCGCGGCGCATGCGTGTTGAGAACATAATGTCACACCCCTTTTTTGCCGCAAATCAGAGCGACACGGACAATGCAGAGGGGCGTGGTGCTGGACGCTTCGTGGTGTCATCACCGGAGACGTATTGCACGCTTGACCTTGCCACGGGCGAGGACACTGTAAACATACAAATTCCATATGGTCTGAGTCGACAGGAAGAGGCCGCATATATTATTCAACACACATACCGTGCATACCGCTCCCGCAAATGGCAACAACTTTCTCAGAGGAAATCATCCGTGACAAAAGACCCGGCAGCGCCGCGACACAACAAAGTCGGTCGTCAGACGTCCTTTTTGTCAGGCGTCACAAATCCGTTGTTGTCACAGCCTCCAGAACTGGAGGATGTGAAGGGGTTTGTGAGCCACCGCACGGAGAAGCGACAAAGTCGAGGAGGTGCGAGTGCTGCCCCTCCCGATATGCCACGTTTTGATGACGCAAGTGTAGGAAGTGGATCGGCAAGCGAAATCATACGGGATGTGAATGACTCTGTGGCTTTTGTTTTGGAAAACACGGCGGCGGTCCCGTCGTCCGCCGCCACACCGGCATTGGAGAACGCGGTGAAAACTAAATACTTGCCCTCTTATTCACGCACCCACAACAGCACTTTGAGCAGCATCACATCCCCCAGAAGAGGGGACGCTGGACGCACAAAGACGGCATCGTTTGCCCCCGGTTTAGAACACGACGCACGTGCCGATGAAAAAAACGTGGAGAACGTCGTGTCCCTCATGTCAAAAATCAAAATTGACGCGACACGCCCGTGTCCACTGTGCCATCGACTTCCGATGCAGCGGCTGGCAGGACGCGAGCCGTACGCGAACACACCGTTTGTCTACCAAAAAGGGGAGTGTATCCCGAGGGTTTTGGATTGAAATGTCATCTTTCTGAAGGGGGAAAAGGGAGAGAGAGGGAGAGGGTGGGTGGGTGGCAGCAGTGGCGGTGTTGGTGTGACGATCCTTTTTTCTTTTTTTCTTGTTTTATTGGTTTCCTGTTTGTTTGTTTGTTTGTTTGTTTTGCCAATTGCCAAATGTACAGATGTGAAACAAGAAGGAAGAGGTTCATGGTTGCTGGAAATGGATTTGAAAAAAAGGGGAACACGCTGCAAAGGGGTGAAGGAACAATAAGAAGAAAAAGAAGAAGAAATGCCCATCCATTGATGCCCGTGCAATATATTGCCCCTATAAATATAACTATTTATTTATTTATTTATTTATTTTATATATGCGGGTATACATGTATATTTTCACATATTAGGTGCTTAGGAAACTGGAAGATGTCAATACACAATCTCTTTTTTTTTTTTTTTTTTTTTGTGTGTGTGTGAATGAGGCTTCTGAACCCATTCTCTCTCGCCCCCACATGTGCAGAGTGGACTGCCCCATTTCCTCTTGGAGCCGTCACGCACCCATGCATGCATCCCCCCGTCCCGTCCCTCTCTTCTCAATGTATGGACTCACGACTTTTTTACCGCGGTTATATTTGATGGGACGAAGAGGCACACAGACAGTAAAAAAAAAAAAAAAAAATAGGGAGAGGAAGACAGGAGGAGTGCGTTGAAACAATCACAAAAAAAGGGAAGGAATGGACGGGACAAATATCGCTAAAGAAGACATGACAGCTGAACTGCCGCCTACTTTCCTCTTTGGATATGGATCCATCATGTGGAAGCAGGATTTCGCGTACACCCGCAGTTACCCGTCTTGCATCTCCGGCTACAGGCGTGTTTTCTACCAAGGTAGCACGGACCACCGCGGGACACCTGGTAAACCCGGGCGTGTGGTGACACTTCTGCCAAGCGATGCGCCTGACTCATGGGTGGCGGGCATTGCATATGAACTGCCGTCGGACCCTACTGCGCTGACGGCGATTCTCGCCCAGCTTGACCACCGCGAGCGTGGTGGGTATCGGCGCGTGGAGGTGGTGTTAAATGACCTGCACACACGGAAGCCACTCGCACTGCCGCAAGGAGCCTTGTGCCTGTGTTACATGGCGACGGAGGAAAACAGTGAGTATTTGGGGGCCGCGACGGAGGAGAATATTGCGGCGCAGATATTGGAGAGCTCGGGGGATAGCGGGCCAAACTCGGAGTATCTTTTTAATCTTGCCGCAGAGCTGCGGAAAATACAGGCGGTCGACGAGCACGTTTTCTCCATTGAAGCAGCAGCGCGAAGAATACTGGAGATTAGCGGAGAACAGGAAAAATTAACGACTTAGATGCGTTCTATGCATATCCCTCTAGCTTTCTAGCGACCTGCTTCTTTTGCTTCCTTTCTTTCTTCTTTTTTTTTTTTTTTCTTTTTTTTTTGAGTACTGGCACTGCTGTATATATCGCTCTTTGTTGTGATGTTATTGGTGGTGGTTGTTTATTATTAGGCATAATTTGGTTACGGCCTCGTAACTTGGAATACATAACATTTATTTCCATTTACATATTCTCGCATTGTGAGCATAGAATTTTACTCACTACATGCACATGTACATTTGCATGTGTAGCCGAAAGGGGAAGCATCCATTTTTTTTTTCTCTGTTTTATTATTATTATCATTATTATTATTATTTGTTTTCTTTTTTTTTTTTTTTTTTTTTTATTATTTGCATGGAGAAAAGGGTTGTTTTTTTTTACTGCGTAATGATGACACCACGAGTCGCAAGTGAAGACTGCGGGGAAAAGTTGCGCATCGCCATCCTTCGAGTCCGACTGCTGCTTGCATTGCACGGGCGGGTGAGCGGTGATGATAATCCCGGGCAGGAGAGTGCAATGCACGCGGGATCCGTAACCCCGTCACCGCCACGGCAGCGCACCGTGTGGGCGCACAGCGACTCCCTCCACTCGGTGGATCTCGAGGAGGGGAGCAGTGACAGGTGTCAGCTGGATGCGAGACGGACGCGGGAACAAGCACATGAGGATCATTCTCAGGAAGTGAAGGAGGAAGAGAAAGGGACATCCATCACCGCACAGGCCTTGCCGCTTCCGCCGCTGCGCTGGCAGCTCCCAACGCTGCGGCAGCGACAGGAGGCGGTGGAGAAGCGACGGGAGAGGCGACAGAAACGGACGGACCGCGGTCAGAAGCGGGGTTGGTTCGCAACTAATCCTGTCGCCGCTGCCGCCGTCGCCGTGTGCGGTGACATCGACGACGCCAATGACGACCACCAGGATGAAGAAAATGATCGTCATGCACGAACGAGTAGTTCCTCCGCGTTCACCTTGACGGGTGACCGCAGTGACAGGAGCAGTTCAAAGGACACATATGCGGCCTCCCATGCCTCTACGGACGATGTCTACATTCATGAACTGGCGCGTGGGCATGAATCGACCCTTAACGCTTCCAGTAATTTTCATCGCCGCTGGGGTTCTGCCTCACTTGGCCAGGGTGGAACAAATGCGAACAGTTTAGCAACGCATTTGCGACATCACTCGGCTCTTCTGGCTGTCGCAGGTGTCCACAGTGAGAGCACGGCGGTCACGGCACAGTTGGAGTTTGACAGAATTGGTGCAGGCGAAGAGGCACCATATGCGTCGTACCTTTTCTCCCCTGAGGCGCGTATTGTGGACCTGAGCATGTTGCCGCTAGCTGCCGAAAGAAAACATGAGGGTGGCGAGAAGAAGGCTACAGCGGATGGGAGTCGGAGCGGTAATGATTCGTGGCCCTTGCCGGCCCCGCGGAACACCGAGCTGGTCGCTTCTGCCCCTGAGAAAGATGGATGCACGCGGGTGTGTTTCTCCCCAGAAGGGGACTGCTACATTGTAGGCACAGAATGCGGCAAACTGTGGTTCGTGCAGGTGAGCGTCAAGGCCGGCCATATCGTCAGCACCACGGCGGCGAGTCCGCTTCCGCTTCACGGTCACAGCGGCGCCGTGACGGACATTGCCTTTGACGATGTGGGCACGTGTTTTGCCTCATCGGGGGCTGATGCCTGTGTCATACTGTGGAATCAGCGAACGCCATCCAAAGTCCGTCGCATCAACACCGACGGTGGTGTGCCGGTCGCGGTGCGGTTTATGCCCAAGAATAATAACTATCTCCTTGTCTCCCTCCCGAGGCATCACCTGCTTCGTCTTTACAACAGCTCCACAGGGTTTCCGGTGACGCGCAAGGGGCAACTCATACGCGTGGAAGCAACAGCGCTGGTAATGGAGCCATGCACCTATCCGTTTCTCTTCCTGGGAGACGCGCATGGAGCCATCACCGTGTGGCGATACCGTGTGAGTAGAGTGGACGACATCGCATGCCCCTCCGTCGTGAAGGATGTGAATGAAGCGATAAAAAGATCGCAGCCAACAACGTTGCCACAATCATTGCTGCCGCAAGTGCCGCACCTCTCCACGCCATCATCATTACACAGCGCGGCGACGGCGGCAGGACAATTCGCCGTCGAATCGCACCTCGAACATGAGAAGCGGGGAGAGTTCATGCCATCTACAATAACGGAAGGTCAGTCACAATTTGAGAAGGTGGCAGGGTGCGTTGTAGAGAAAGGGACACCTGTGGCTTCTTTGGTGGCGAGTTCCATGAATCACCAACAGTTTCATTGCCTTTTACGCGCCCAACGCATGGGTCAAGAAGCCCATGAGAGAAGCACGGTTAAAAAGTGGGCGGCAGCAGCACTTGGAGGCGGGTGGAAACGCAATGAAGGAAACATGGTATCTAACAAAAAGGATGGTAAAATCTCAACCAGATCGGCGTACGCTGTTATGTTACTCGCCTCATTTCCACGGGATCGATTGGTAGTACTCTCTGTTCAGCCAAGCAAATCTACTCCTCATGAATACAAGTTGGTTCCCATGCTAGTCATCATGGGCGCATGTCGTATCCGTCAAATGTCGGTGGGCACTTCGTTTTGTGTGGACAACACGCGCTGCCCTACAATATCGTGTACCTGTGAAGAAGGATTCGTTCAAATTATTGCCTGCACCCCGGCACGCCTGCCGGCCCAGAAGGATGAGAACGTAAAGAAAAGCTGTCTCACGGGCCAAAAACCGGTTCAGTGGAGTGTCATGGCGACTCTGCCGGTGCCGTGCGGTGGCATCCCACGCAGCTTGGCGTGGTCACCCGATATGGGACTTCTTGTAGCAGTGACGGAAGAAGGCATCCTGTATGAGTGGCGGCGCGTGCGTCTTCATCTTGGCGTTCCTCATCCCGGCTATTATCGCAGCGGCGGCGGCGGCGGCGAGGAGCACTGTCGGGATGATGACGACTCCACCGGTGGCCCCCGCGCGCTTCACGAGGCGGACGAATGGCGTATTTGTTTGCAGCGGGAAAAAGAACGACAAATGCGCCGCTACCGAGCCCAGAGGGGAACCGCTGACTCCGACGATGGCTCGCTAAGTGGCTTGGACGACTTGTGGGCGAGGAGCGGGGACTCCATGAGCCGTAGCCCGGAGCAATCGTCACGTTAGATGGGAAACGGGAAAGGGTAGAAAAGTGAGGGTGAAAAAAACGACTCCGCTCCGTCTTATAGGCGACGCGTGCGTTCGTCTATTGGTTTGGTCTTCGTCATTTTGTTGCGTTCTCTGTTCTTTATTTCCCTCCTTATTTTTTCTTTTCTTTTTTGCTTCGCCGCACGCGCGGGGAGAGTGGCGTCTGTGACGCGCGAACGCGAGTAGTTTTTTTGTTGTTGTTATTTTTTTTTTTATCGCAGAAGCCAAGGAGGCATCGTGTGGAGAGCCCGTGCCGGCGCACAAGGGAGGAGCGAAAGGAAGATCCGGCGGAGTAACAGCGGGGGAAGGAAGAAATGTTCGGGACAACGCGCGTGTGGCGCAACACGTTCCTCACAAAATCGGTGGCGACGCCGCCGATTTCAGTGATACGCACCGGGCCAAAGTGGTGGGCAGATCCGGAGCGCATGGTGCGGCAAAAGCTCATGTATTTCACCCTCGGGGTCGATCAACTTCCGTTGCGTCGCACGGCGGTGATTCAGAAAGACCTGCACCGCTTCCACATGTGCAAGCCACCGCCGCGCATAGGCGACACGACCGGCTACAAGCGGTCCCGCGCAGCGCAGTTGACGACGTGGTACCGCCGCATCCAGTACCAGGAGTACCATCTGCAGCACCTTTTTACGCGGCATGTGTGGGGTTTGGTGCGCGCGTACCCGGGAAACACGACGAAGATACAAGGGAAGGCCGATGACGGCTACGTTGGGTACGACAGCGTGCCTTATCACCGCTACAACCGCACCCCGCTGCCTTTCCCAGCCCGCGAGATTTACGGGAGGAGGGAATAAACGGAAGGAAGAAAGAGGAAAGAAGAGAAGAAATTACCACCGGCGCCCGTGGCGAACGAATCGGCAAACCGCACGAGCGCGTTTCTTTTTGACCAATGTGTTTTCCCGCCCCCATTCGTCTTGTGGACTCTAATTTTTTCTGGGTTGCTTTTCTTTTTCTTCTTTCCCTTACGTTTTCAAGGGCAAGCGCCACCGCTAGCTTTCTTCTGCTTTGCGCCGCCCCGGATGCGCGGGCCGCGGCGGCAGCGGGCTAAGTGCCAAAAAAAAAAAAAAAAGGGCGAAAAAAAGGGGACGGTTTGGCTGCAGGCCAGGGAGAAAAACCGACAGCAACGAAGCACCGCGCGGGCGCCGAAAAAAGAAAGAAAAGGGCAATCGAAGAAAACTCTCTTTTTCCTTTACTCTCTCTCGTTTTTCCGCGGTCTTTGTTTTTTTCTTCCCGGCGACGGGCCTTTGGAACAAACGCGTTTCACGGGCCCGCTTCCGTCGATTACTTTTGGCCCTCTTTTGTGAGATAAATCATTTTGGATTCCGGGCTTTCCTGCACGCGGAACTCGTCGCGGTTGGCCTCCACGAGTTTCAAGACGCCGCCGTAGTGCCGGTTCGCGGCCTGTTGGACGGCGAGAGACGCCCAGAGCAGCAGCCGGGAGGCCTCCACGCCGCCCGCTGGCACCAACACTTTCACCGCCTCAACCGCCTCCTCCCGGGAGAGAACGTCGTTCTCCTCAAACACCGCCTCGTCATCCGCTTCCCCTTCTTCACCCAAATCCTGCCGCCGCCGCTGCTCCAGCGAAAGGCCTGGCGAGGACGGCGTTTCCGAGAAGACCTCCTCCCTTTTCTCGCGCGCAGAATCTCCGGCGAACACCTCCGCCGATAGTCGGGTGGACTTCTTCACTTTGCGCATTAAAAAGACGCCCGGCGAAGTTTCTTTACACACAAAAAGGCTCGGGAAGAGTTGCAACAGAGTGACGATACGCGGTGGCAGAACGGCCCGCATCGCCGGGCTAGCGCACTGCAAAAAAAAAGCCGCCGTGCACGGCTCGTCGTCCGGGGCCAGATAATGAAACACCACCGCCAGGTCACGTGGAGTCAGGTAGGGGTTTTCTTCACGAATCGGAACGCGGGTCGCCATGTCTTCCGGAGACGGCTCGGATTCGCGCAAAGAGAGGGGATCGGAAAGATCCACACGGGAAATAAAGTTCTCTCCGGCACGGAACACCATCGGGTGACGTCGCAGGATTTTCATCATGCCGTCGAATCCACCCACAATTATCTTTTCCTCCTCCGTCAGACGAACATACACATAGTGAGGCCGATCCCAAGTGGAGCAAACGCGTCCCATGAGAACAATGAGGCCCCGTACATCCTCCGGGTGTCGCTCAAAATCCTCTACAAAACCATCGTTCCATCGCACGCTGTCTGCGCCAATGCGTTTCCGTAGGAGAGGGATGTCTGTGTACTTTAGCTGAATGATTTCAAATTGATCAGGATTTCCTTTAGCACAGGCAAGCAATTCGCCAGGGGTCAAATTCTTCTTGGTGTAACGTTGCATAAGAAGTGAAATAGGGACAAAGTAGCCCGGGCAAACACGCGCAACAAATTTTAAAAGGGCATTTGTATGCTGCGACGCTTCCGTCGCTGCTAACACCTCCCCTTCGGCGTTCACAGGAGCCAGACTGTTTGCCTCGCCCTTTGCAATCTTTAACTGTAGACGTTCATGGGCCTCCTCTGGGGTCAGTCCGTGAACCTCCGGGTGCAACAAAATGCTGCGACGAATCTCCGTGGTCCCCGCAAGATTACGGAGTTCAAAGTAAAACGGCTGACGTCGAAACCACTGCAAGGTAGAGGCGATACGAATGTGTCGTTTCTTCACCGCGGCTGGTATGTTGAGGTTACCAAAATTCCCCCAGGCAACGGGTACATATTTCAGTATTTCGTACACATCCTGCCGTGTTGGCACGTTGGTTGCCGCACCCCAGCCGCCGTATGCATTTAGTGCGTGTGCCACTATCGTCTGCGGCTGTGGGGACACAAACCGTGGCGGCTGCGTCTCTCCCGGAAGCCGGGTGCAAATGTACTTCTCATTCAGAACCCAAAACTCCTCCCTCGCACGCGGAGAGCTCAGAATGGCGATAAAATCCACGTACTTGAGGGTGTTCGCGAATCCCCGGAGGGTGGCGTTCGTGAGCGCCTCCCGAATGAACGATGAGTACGCGTCGTTGAGGGCCTTGTAACTTGAACCGCCAGACTCCCTCGTGCCGAGCACCCTCTGACGCAGAAAAGGCAGCATTTCTTCGATCAGATTCATATCCACTTCTTGCTTCTCCACCTTCGCGGGTGACAAGCCTTCTTTTTCCTCAGTCGCATCCCCGGGAAGAAAAAACTTTGCATCCGCGGCAAGTTTCACAAGGCAGATGCCATGCGCATCCTCTTCAAGTTGGATCAGTGTACACGCTCGCACCCAGTCTTCCACCCTCATACTACGCCTAAACATGTCATCACGGCTTAGACTCGGTAGCTGCTCCACAAATGCCTTCAGCGTGACGCCTTCCGAGGGGTATCGTTGCGCAATAAGCATCGCTGCCGCCCGCTCTGCTACGGGACGCGAGTTGAACAGGCTTGTAAACGCTTCGTTTCCCATAGAACTCAGTGCTTGCTGCAGTGGGGATTGAGGCCCTGCCCCTTCCTCTCCTTCCTTCCGCGCACCACGGTGCCCGTCAGCCCCCTGCAGAGCGGAGGATGACTGCCCACGCATTGATGTGAAGAGCGCCACCCGCCTCTGATGCCTGTCACGGGACAGAGGTAGTTTTGGTGCCCTCTGACGTCCCACCCGTGAGGTGCGCGGCCCCGTGAAAGGGGGAAGCGAGATGCACAATCGACGACGCATTGAAATTAAACGCCACAAGTAATCCTCCCTTTTCTTTTACTGTTTTTTTTTTTTTTTATGTGTGTGTGTGTGTGTGAGTTGCTCCCATCACACGCGCCAAGAAAAGAGAAGAAAAAAAAAAAAGAAAAGTGGAGCCGCACGCTCTTGGCGGCGGGAGGGGAAGCGCACACCACACAGCAACTCCTTCAGTGCACTCCAAGTGTTTGCAGCCCCCTCCCCATGTGGCGCCGCACAGGCTGGAGAGAAATTCTTCCCTGCCATCATCATCACTGTATGCCCAAATTGTTCTTTCCCTGCGAATATGATTGATCATGCATGTTCATTGGTTGGTTTGTGCTAAAACACGCAAATGGAATGGGCAACACCACGCAGGTTAATTGGTGGAGAAAAAAAAAAAAGAGAAAAAAGGCCCAAATGTAAAAAAGAACGCACCCAACTCTTTAAGTGAATATTCGTCACTATCAAGTTTTATATTTAGAGGCTCCATTCCCATTACGCCAGCGGTCCACACGGCCAGCTACACGGTGCCGGCCCCGTCCGCATTTCCCCCAGCCTTCTCCTCCTCCATTTGAGCCTGCAACGCCGCCGTCTCCCTCATTATTTTCTCTCGCCGTTCTGCCGCCTCGTATTCCTCCGCAACATCACGTGGCTCCTCGTAAACCTCAAACTGTTGAAGAATATCCCCCAAACGGAACTGAAACTCGTCATGCAGAATGACCCCACACTCCAGACCCATTTCAACAGAAGGCACAATTTCTTTGAAGCGGCGCAGCTCTTTTATTTGACCCTCGTACACCACCGTGCGAGCATCCTCCGTGTCATCCTCATCGCCGGTTGCCTTCTTAGGTGAGTTGTCACCTCCCGTAAGTTTACTCCGCGAAGACTTGCGCAGGACACGGAACGTGAGATGCGAGCCAATGATGCTGCCCTTCGTGACCCGCATCCCACCCGCATTGCCATTCCTTCCAGCCTGTGACGCACGAAAGACCTGTATGCACTCCGCCTCCGCCGTGACACGCGTCTTACTGATTTTTGGAAGCGATTCCACAAGTGTTTCCTTCAGGGCATCGATTCCATGGTAAAGCACGTTGAAGCGGATCACCTTGACGTGATTTGGCACATCTAGCGTGTTTGTGTCCTTGCTCTCGCCGTAGAGAAGAATGCATCCGGGCTGTCCAGAGCTACCAATAAGAGCAATATCGTAATCCTTTAGACCACCAACCTCGGTTACTTTAATCTCCGTTGAGACGCCTTCCAAGCGAGGCAATTCGTATAATGTCTTCATGAGAGCCTGTAGCATGCCAAATGTAGCCGCCTTACACGAAAGCACAAAGGCCTTCGTGCTGTATGTACGCACCAAGTTGTTATCTGGTTTGCGGGCATAAATCATGCCGTGTTGCTCTTGATTCAGCAGCTGTAAATAATCCTCACGTCGGCCCTCCACCTTGTATACATCCTTCATAAAAAGATAGTACTTCTGTGCATGAGATTCACTGCTCACCTGCATGAGCACAACACCAGGTTTGGGATGGACACGAAACCCTTGCATAATGACTGGCATGGAGGGTCCGGCCTCCTGTAAAACATTCCCATTATTATCCATAACCTTTCGCACCACACCGTACGTCATGCCTGCGACCAACACTTGTCCAGGTTTCAATTTTCCACAGCGCACGATGCCCGCCACCTCATTCTTCACATCGCTACTACGTGACTCAATGACGGTCACCTCGCATCTGGATGGTTCCGGGGTACTAATCTCACAGAGCTCCGCCTGCAGGGAGATTGCCTCCAGAAGTTCTGGAATGCCGGTGCCATCTCGCCCGCAGACCGAAACAAACTGCGTGTCCCCGCCGTCCTCCTCCAACTCAACGCCACAATCACGTAACTGCTGTTTGATTGGGTCCACCTTCGGCTGTCGATCAATCTTCGTGCATGCCACGACAAGCGCAATACCGGCATCGCGGGCAAGTCCAATGACTTCTTTCGTCTGTGGCTGCACCCCATCCACGGCAGATACAACAAGGACGATGAGATCATTGGCCGCCACGCCCACCTCCCGCATCGCTGTAAACGCAGCATGTCCGGGAGTATCAATGAAGGTCACAAAATGGCCGTCCGATATTTTTACTTGGAAAGCACCAACATTCTGCGTAATGCCGCCCGCCTCCTCGGAGGCCACATTTGTGTTGCGGAGGTAATCCAGCAACGTCGTCTTGCCGTGATCCACGTGGCCCATAATGGACACAATCGGTGGACGTGGCACGTACTGAATTTTTGCCGCCACGTGCTTGATATCATACTCACGGATGAGCCCTGCGCGGTGCAAATTATTCGCCGTACTAAGCGGATCCCGCAAATTAGTCGCCGTCGTAAAGAACTCACGCAGTGTGTGGTCCTCCAACTGCTTCGCGGGGTCTGGCCCGGGCTTTGGACGTGCCTTTTGCTGCGGTGACTTCTTCATCTTTTCTCGTCTTCGCATAAATTTGGCGCAGCGGGGGTCGTCGCTGCCAACCCACAACGGTCCCGATCGCGTCGGGATGTACACGGCGTCCTTCGCGAACTCATGCCAGTCGTACACCTCCCCCAGGCCCATCTCCCGACGATCGTTTTGGATTGTCGCCTTCACGTAGTGCGCCACCGTGTCGGGGTTAAACCTCCGCATGTTGCCCTCGGACGAGTACCGCGGGTCCACAACGCCCTCATCCCAGTGAAGCCCCGGCTGGCCACGGGAACTCTGCGACTGCCATCGACGCACGGTCGTTTGGGCCATCGCGGAAGCAGCACCGCAGCCACATGACGCACCGATCCACGAGACGGCGAGTTGCCTCACGCCGCTGCTGAGTCGCCACATTCGGATGCAAATCTGTTTTCCCGTTCCGCCCTCTTCCTCCCGCTAAATGCGGCGCAAAAGTGATCACGCACACAACACACAAACAGCAATTAGGGATTTACCCCTTTTCTTTCTTTCTCTCTCTCTCTCTCACTATGTCTCAACCCTGTTCTGCTTTCCCTTGAAGCAAATCCAAAAAAAAAAAAGAAGAGGGGCAGTTCAAAAGAAATGCATTCATTCACGTCCCATACCGTTTTTACCTCCACTCCACTCCCCCCTTCCAATGCAGCCATTTCCTCCGTCCACAGCCACCCCCTTTTTCCGTCTCCCGCTTCCCCCAACATCAATAAGGCCCGAGAAGTTGCAACGCAGCCGCATTGCCCCCCTGTGCATTCCTGCGGTTTCTTTGTGCTTTGTTTTGCTTTGTTAGTTAATCAACATGATGAATGATCCGCTCCTGTGGGGAATAATCGCACTGCCACTGCGGCCACAAACCTCGGCGTCCAGGCAGAGGGAAGAAGTGAAGGGATATGATGGCAGCAGAAACGAACAAAATGTCCCAATCGGCCCAGCAAACATAGTCCTTCACAAACACACAAATATATATAAATATATATGAGTACAGGGGGGGGGGGGAAATAAAAGCCCATGAACAGATTTCGTCAATTCATGACAAACGCACACGCGCCGAGCCCGCTCCTCTCGATATGCATCCCCTACTGCCCACTAGGCCATGGGGTCAAAAAACAAATAGTGGCGGCAAAAAAAGAAAATTTTTTCCTTTCCTTCCTTCCTCGCATCGTTCACATCCCACAAATGACGACCCCTGCTTTCCATTTATTTTTCCATACGTTTCCCTTTCAGGCCTGTCGTGTGCCCCACACCTCCCACTCGTTTCGGTAACTGCACTGCGGTGCGGTAAGAGACAAGCAAAGAGAACGACGGAAAGAAAAACAGACGCAAGAATTTCTGAGCCACAAAAACCACAGAAAGGCACAACAAAAAAGCCCGCAACCACATACTGCATACAAAACAATAATAATAATAGCCAGCAGAGGACAAGAACAATAACAAATATATATATATATATATTGTGGAATAAGGCATAACCCCACCAACGGCAGAAACATGTGCGTCTATTCACATGTACCCCCTTTCCCGCTCTCCCTCGATCCCTCTCGGTGTGCTTTGTTTACGTCTCCCTTTTTCTCCCCTTCCCTTTCCCTCTCTTCTCTCTCACCCGCACATTCTCTATTGGTGGCATTTAAAGGAGGTGCAAGAAGAAATTCCTGCTGGTGTGCGATCCTATTCATCGTCATCGCCTCCTCACATCGCATTGCCTAATTGTTCTTCTTGTCTTCGTGATTGGTTGCTCTTTGATCCGTTGCTTGCAGCGTGTGGGGATGGTTCTCACTCCCAGTATTATTATTTCTTTTCTTTCTTTTTTTCTTTTTCGTTTTTTGCCCTCCCCTTTTTTTGTTTATGCGTCCCTCGCGGTCATGGGATCTCCCTCCACGTCACTGAACCCACATCGGCGCGGGGCTGTGGGAAAACAGAACAAAAAAAAAAAAAAAAAGAAGGGGGGAAAAAAGTAGAGAATGAAAAGCATGAGGAAATAGAAGAAGAAGAAAAAAAAAAAGGAGGAAGAAGGGAAGGGATAATAAAATAAAAAATAAAAATAAAAAACGCTTTTCAACAGACTGTTTTAATAGCCGTTTGTTGTATCCCTGTTGCACTTCTCCGTGTTGAACGGCAGCTGCCACGCCCGCAACTCACCGCCATCTGTCCCCGTCAGCAGCACATCCTTCGCAGCGGACGTCGCGGATGCCATGACAAGTCCCTCATGCAGTTTCACCTGACGAATCGGCTCCGCGGTGGTCAGCGACCACTCAATCGCGGTGGTGTCGTCAGAGACCGTCAAAAGCGTATCGCGACCGACAAACTCCAGACCGCGCACGTAGTCCTGGTGTCCCATAAAGGTGCGGGCGGCATCCCCAAACGCCCCGGTCACAGGATCAATGTCGACGGCAAACACAACCTCCGAGCAGGCGGCGTAGAGCCAAAAGCCCGATTCCGGCCGCGGATGCCCCTCAGGCTGCGCCTCGCTGTGAACCACGGCAATTTGGTTAACAGGATTATCAAATTCCTCAAAGGAGGCTACAAGTCGATCCTCCGTTGTCACCCGCATATCCGCAACGATGTTCCACAGCCGCACCGCACAATCCTCCGATGCCGTAAGCAGCAAGCCCGGGTTAGGGGATAACGCCAGATCGTTTACGGTGCTCGTCGCTGCCCAGAAACGATCCACCATCGTTCCGATAGCAGCCGTGTTTGAAGCATTCGCCCCTCTTCCCTGTTGGTCGTTCCGCTGCGGAACATTCTCCGGCCCAAGTGAGTAAATGTACACCATGCCGTCATCGCAGGCGCTTGCCAGCAGCCAATTACAACCGCCGTTTGTACCGGGCGCGGGAATTCTCAACATTTTATTGATTCCGTCCCCGAAACCGCGAATATTCCCGACCGGCGCGCTCAATTCACGTGCGTCCCAGTAAGCAATCGTGCGGTCATCGGACGCCGTCAGTAACATCCTTTCGTCTTCCTGCAGAAACAGGGCGTGGTTCACAGGACCCTGGTGGTGTGTGAGGCGTGCGATTTCATGGCCAGCTGTGGCCTGACGCCAATCCCACAACGCCGCGGTGTCATCCCCCGATGTGGAGCAGAAGACAGAAACGTGATGAGGGGAAAACTGCAGAGACGTAATAACTTCACTATGTGCCTGGGGAACCGAAAGAAGCATCGTTGTCATAGCCGCTTTCTCTCTCCTTATCCTTGTCTTTGTTTTTTTCTATTTATTTATTATTATTTTGTTTTGCGAAGGGCTCAGTGTACGTATGAACAGATCGCACGTACCTCCTCTTCTTTCCCCGTCGTTGTCTCGCAGGCTCCCCTCTCCCTCAACCCACACACACACACACACACACACGTTTCTTTCCGCCTTCACCCTCGTCAGCCGCGCACCACACTCTCTCCACGCCACTTCCCTCTTTATTTGCGTGTCCGCTCATTCCGTCAGCAACCATAATGCACATAAAGAATAAAAGAAATGAAGAAAAGGAGAACAAGTGAAGTAAAAAAAAAAAAGAACAGCCCATAAGTGACAATAATAACATGCATCCATGCCGACTCATTTCGTACACATACATGTCATGTCATGTCATTGTCATTTCACGTCATGTATGTCTGTTTGTATCTGTGTATCTATGTATACATGACACGCACGGAGACTCACGCACTCACCACAAACGCTCACATCTCCTGAAGCAACAGCAAAAAAAAAAAGAAAACACACACACACACACACACGCCAATACCAAAATTATTTAATTTCTGCAGTGCCGATGAAGCAAACCGTGGCAAAAAAAAAAAAAAAAAAAACAAGAAAAACAGAGAAATAATTGTCTGCTTTTTTGTTTTTGCTTTTCTTTTGCTTTTTTTACATATAAATGTAAATATAAATAGACATTCTAGAAAATACTATTTCCCTCACTCTTTTATTCGACGCACATACACAAATACGCTAAGAACAAAAAAAAAAAAAAGAAAAAAAGAAGAAGAACAAGCGACAGCCCTCCCAGACACAAATTCAAAAGGTGACTGTGACATCTTCCGTAACTCTCAGCTCTTCTGTAAACGCCTCCGCATCATCTACTTCATCAACGATAAGAGTGCTGTTGCCGGGTAGCAAGAACATGTCCTTGCAGCCCTCCCATCCTGTTTTCAGCAGCTCCCTTCGTCGCACATCCATCAGCAGCATGACAACAGCCTCCGGTGGCGCCACCGCCAGCGGGAGAGCGGAATCACGTGCGGTGTCCTGAAGAAGTTTCCAGTGACGCTGTGACAAGACTCCCTCGGAGTGGAAGTATTCGGGGTCTTGCGGTATTTGATACCGTCGCTCGTAGTTCATCACATTCACTTCGTTCTGGGCGAGCGTTGTGTTCTGCAGTGTCAGTTTCCCGTCGCAGTGCGACCAGTGGTAGTTGTCGCCATAACGAACACCGACGGAGCATTTCTGAATGAGAGAATTCGTAATGGACGCTGTGTGTTGTTTCGACGCATAACCCGACTCAACGCCCTGCTGGCAATACTGCACGATGGTGTGAGAAATGACAACCTCACGATGACCCTTGGGATCGGAGGAGAGAGCCACCCCCTCATGCATGCAACCCTCTACAATTGTGTTGTGCACAACCAGGGAGCCACCGTTACCCATCGCACCAGAGTCAATCCCGTCGTCCTTCGTGTGGGCAATGAGACTATCAATGACGCGATGTTTACCACCCGAAAGGTACATGGCGTCATTGTCGTTATCGGCATACGCTGCATCCCATGAGGGAAAGTGCGTCCAGACAGAGCGCCTTGAAGTGAAGGTGCACTGCACACACTCGATCCCCATTTGAGCCCACTGCACCAATGAATCCTCCACTTGCACCTCGGCCTCATTGCCTGCCGCAATGCCTGCGCCCTGCAGCTCCAACAAGAAACTGTGACGGAGATAGACGGAGGCCTTATTTGTAGCTGAGATGGCGGCAGAATGGGAGTGGTGTTTCCCCGTATTTGCCACCCGGATCCCCTTCACGCCTGAGCCGGTGAAAAACGTAAAACTCGCGTATAACGTGGCGGTGGGGCCATCGACGTGGATGGTCCGCCAACTGCTCGCATTCTCCGCCGATTCGCTGGTGACCACAATGGGCGACGCGACGGTGCCGTTGAACCGCAAAAAACCCGTCACGCGCAGCATCGCAGCAGGCCGCATCACAACGACACAACCCGCCGCCACATCGAGAGTCGCTCCTCGAGAAATTTCAAAAGAGCCGGAAATAAAAATGGGGCACTTTGCCGAGCGCAGCGTCAAACCCTCTTCCACCACCGACGCATTTTCAGGGATGCAACGCAGCACCGTCTGTTTCTCAAGCGAACCGCCAAACTTGACGCCCTTCGCGTCCACGAGGCCGTCGGCCAAAGATAACGCTTGAGGTGGAGCCGCAACAGACGCGAGAGGTACCGACTGTTCAATGTCCACATCACTGATACGCAGCCGCGTGGTGGAGCTGTTAGAAGCAAACAACGCTGGACCTCTACCTGTATTTTCCTCCTCATGACGCTGGGCAGGGTAGGAATCGTCTTCAGATTTCTCTGGCACGAAAAAACGTACAGCACTGAAGCCACGTACAATCATCGTCTTCTGCGTTGGGGCATCAAGGCTGAAGATAAGCGTGTTTTTCCTCGACCATCTAAAGACGGAGTTTTCTGAGCCCTGCTCTGGAAAAAGTACCCGAGAAACAAACACACCACGCTTCTCCTTGGAGTCTTGAGGCCACACAGGTGGCATAACGATGCTAAGCGTGGTCCCTGTTTCATGTGTTGTCATTGGGTACAGCATGGGTAATTTCTTATCAAAGGACCACAGCCCAAACTCTGCACTGCCACGCGACGTACTTGGCTCCACCAATGGCATGTCAACAAACCAGAAACCCGGCGCCTCCCATTTCCCACGCCCTTTGGGAGGAGGCAACAGTCCGGCAGATGTGAAGAAAGATGCCACAGCAGACACGCGTGCACAGTACATACCAGCATCAGGGAGTTGATACTCGTCATCTTCTGGAAGATCGACACCCAACGCCGACTGTATCCCTCCAACTAAAAACCCCCATCTTGTGCTGACACGCGATCCCTTGACTTTGACAACAATTGAGAGACGTTTCATCAGTTCGAGATGTGCCTCCCTGTTGTGGATCTCCAGCGCCTTTGCATCTCTATCACTTGTTTGATCGCAATGCGAGACCTCGTTGACAGGGAAATAAGAGGCCAAAGCTCGAAGCAATATTTGTCGTTGTTCCAAAAAGGCCCCAATAATCCACCGCACGCCAGCGTCATATTCGCGTTTTGCCTGATTAAACGTTGCCATCGTTGTCCCTGGGGCACCATAAAGAATTGTTTGCAGCTCGTTCTCTGCCACTTGAACAGATCGACTGAATCGCTCCCTGTCAATTTGCCGCGTCATATTCCATAGCATATCTGTGTATCGATAAATAAAAGCTTCCGAGTCATAAATGCTTTTATCAAGGGTCGTTTCAGCACAATACATGACGGATGCCTTAAACCACACCTTGCGATGGCATGGGTAAAAGACGGTGTCATAGTCCCAGCCCATCACACCCAGATAAATCGGTAACTGGAACCTTGAATTTCCATATTGAAGTGGCTGTAGCACTCCGTAAAAAAACACCTCATCATCGTAATCACCATTCTGAAGTATCGTGTTGATGGCAATCCATGCCATGTATTGTGGTATATCAAGAAATTGCTTTCTAGGATTAACCGTTTTGCCCATGGCCGTCTCACTGTGCAGGCCGTAGTGCCAGGGATCCTTTTCCAGAAGCCGATAACTGGGAAAAAAGGAACTGTTTTTCAAAAAACTCGGCACATGTGATATATCATGTCGTGGCTCACTAAAACTCAAAAAGTTGCGGGACCCTATTTCAACAGCATGCTCCAATTTCCCCGGGGAGGACTTCTTCGCGGCACGCCACATTTGCCGCCAATATGTGATGCGTGTGGTGTGCTCCATTACACTCTCGTACTCACGTCTTTGCAGAGCGGCAGGGGAACCATGACTCACGGAATCAATTAATTCCCTCAGAGACTCATTCGCCAACTCCTCAAAGGCGGAAAAGGCCTCCTTCATTCGCCGCCATATCGCCGGGGCGGGCGGCTCAATGGCCAAATAAACACCAAGGGTCCGCCCCACATGCAAACCATCGCGCACAGAAACACCAGCAACAGACGGTGCGCATGGGTGATCCAAATGAGACTTCTGCGAAGGCGGATAGCAGCGTAGTTCCACCAGTTGCGCATATGAAAAAATCAAATCTAAATGTTGCAGCAGATCGACGGAAGTGCGGTAGGCGATGCGGTGGACGTCCTCCCATAGGGAGAGCAATATAAATTCCTTCAATGCCACCGTCGTATTTCTTTTGAATGGGTTGGGTGACAATGCAGGGTTAGGCGTCACAAAAAAAATGGGCGAGTCACTGCGAATGTACAACGATCGCCGTTTGGTGCGCCGGAGCTTCAGGGAGCTTTTCCCATACAGTGTGGCCGACACCGTTGCCTTCTGCAGCACGGCAGGAAGTGGCACCGTCGTGGCAGCGGAAGGGCGAACAGCCACGCGCTCCACCCACATCTCCGCTGGGAATTCAAGCCGATCGCTGGAGGTGCGCCACGCCGTGGCCATGGCGCTACTCATGACGAAGCTGACACGCGTAAAAAATTCATTCGTAGAATAGTGTGGGATCTCCCTCTCGGTCAGTTCCTTCTCAAAAGTCCTCTTCTCGTTCGCAGCGAGGAGCAACAGGAGGAAAACGCCGATAACTAAGAGACACAATGAAAAGAAAAGAAAACGGAGCACTATTCGTATTCTTCGCTTTCGTGTCCCGCCAAACTCCCGCCTCCAGCGACGGGGGTTCGGTATTGCCATCACCAAATCTCCTTACAAAGCGTGAGCAGGCTATCAAAAACTCTAGCAAAAACTGAATGCGCAAAGAGAATAAAAGAATAAAAGAAAAGAACCAAAAAAAAATATAAGAAAAATGAAAATGGCCAAAACAAATCTTCACGGCCTCTTCATGCATGAAACAATTGCATGCCAATTCAATTTATTTCTCTTTTTTTTTTTTTTTTCTTTTCTTTGTTCCCTTTTCTTCCATTCCCTCTCTCTCTCTCTGTTTGTTTGTCTGTGTGGGGAGGTTTGTTGGGTGGTGGCAGTTTTTCTTTCTTTCCTTTTCCCTCGTGTTTTTGTACGGACGCAGAAGTCATTGAAGTACAAACCGCAAAAAAAATAATAATAATAATAAATAAATAAATAAATAATAATAACAAAAATAATTTAAAAAATCTGTTAACGTCAGTGGGGAGCCCCCACATCCTCCTGTTTTGTGTTTTTGTTTTGATTGTCGTTGTTTTTGTTGTTTTGAGAGGCATTGAGGTCCTTTCAAATCTCCGCATCCTCCAGCAACAACAGGAAAAGCCCCCGCAGCTCCTCTCCACAAGCTCGTGCTTTTGTAAGGTGCAATGAAAGGCTGTTTAATTGACGCACCACACGCCGCCAGCGACTCTTGCGAGAGTCACCCTCTACCACGGCGGAGAGCGTGCCATAATGCCTCATGCATCGCTGCTGACAGTGGCAAAGTGGGGGAGAGTCATGTGCGAATGGAAGAGGCTTGTGGGACCCCAACGGGGTGGATGTCAACTGCTTATCCATCTTTTGTTCCAAGGGGATGACCTTCCGATTCGGCGGTGTGGATGCTGCCGTTGCCGCCGGTACGGCATACGCGGAGGAATCAGGCCCAGATCCTGTGTCCATGTTTATTTCCTCATGTTCTTCCCGATGTTGATTGGAGGCAGTCTCGGCCAAGTGGTAATCACTCATGGGAGTGACACACGCGGACGGGAAGCAACAAGTCGCTGCCTCTGCTGCTGCTCCATCGGATGTGTGGTCCACTTCGGGAGAATCATGTGCGGATTTTTGCTGAGACTTCTGAGGTGATGGCAAAACAGGAGCCTGGATGAATGACTCGTGCTGCGATGGGTAAGAGAGCTTCATGTTCGGTGGAGCATTTGCAGGTGGGGAAACGACAACATTAGCAGCAGCAGCAGCAGCAGCGACAGCAACAGCAGCGGCAGCGGCAGCGGCATCAGGAGGCGGTGTCGATGCCCCGTCGTCTTCACCAGCCACTGGATGCAATTTCTGTGGGGCCGTTGTGGACTCCGCCTTGGCTGCTTTAGTTTGCTCTTTTGAGATCACTTCAATTCCCCCACCACGCCTTTTTGCCGTGACTTTGCGCTGCTGCTTCCCCGTTGTTCCCTTCTTCGGTGGCGGACGTGGCGTTTTCGTCCTTCCAGCACCACGGCCTCTTCTCTTAGGCGGAATCAGCTCTTCCAGCTCCCCCAAAATCTTTTTTACCTCTGGAAAAAGAGGCAGGTGGGCTGCATTCTCTGGTGCAGTCATGAGATCGGCAAAGTTGTACGCCGCCTCCGCAGTCACGTTGGGATCTGTTGCGTCGCGCTTAACTGCAGTGGCGGCGCCGCGATGCACGGAGACCACGTCCGAACGCGTAGAGTGTGGCAATTCCCCTGCACGTGATGGAGTGACAGCATTGGGTGTTTCTATCGGCTGATCGGGCGAAGCGCCAGAATCTGGCGGTTCCACGAGTGGCACTCGTGTCGTTGTTCGCGTTGCTGCATCTGCGTCACCCATTGTGGCACCTGCAGGCAGTGAGAACAACGTCGGGGATTTCTCCTTCCTGGCTCGCTTTGGCATCGTTCCCGCCTCTTCCTCCCCATCAATCCCTAAATGGGGCGGTCGTCGACGAGTCGCGGCACTTCGTTGTGTATTTCCTTTCCCTCGCAGCTGCCGAGGCATGCGCAGGTTGGTCGATGACAACGATGGTGGCGGCGGTGTATTTGGCATCACCGCCTCACTGCTGCCGCCGCGAGCCGGGGCTCCACGGTCTCGCCTCCGTGCCGTGAAAGTTGCCAAGAGAGGGCTGCTTTGGGAGGAAATGCCACGCGTCAATTGCACCGCGGAAGTGTCCGCCGCCGCGCCAAGAGCCTCCAAACAATGCGAAAGACGGTCCTCCTCCCCTTTCTCCCCCCGCTCCTCACTGACGACGGCAGCAGAAACCACAGACGCAGCCGTTTCAGTGACAGGAGCAACGTCCACATGCTTCTTCTTCCTGCTCGCGTTGCTTTTATCCCCCGCTGATTCCACGGAGTCCGCACCCACGCCTAGCGAGGGGTTGCGCTGCGTCGTTGGAGCGGTCGATTGGGACCGCCACACCGCGGAGACGTTCTCGCTGGAGTCATCCATACCACCGTCCCTGTCGTTATCCTCTTGGCTGCCCCCGCTGAGGTTGGCGTTATCACCATCAACATCAGACGGTGTTTCTGTTGACGCCACCGAGTCTGCCTCAGGGTTGGGTGGAAAATAACTCAACGGCAGCGGCTCGGTTGTACTGACACGCGACGCGGAACGCGCCCGTCGGCTTGCCGCCACCATCGGCGCGACGGACTGCAAGAAATGCACCATGTCGTCCTCGTGCAGCTGCTCTATGAGCGTGCACGGTCTGTTCATGTCCTCCCGGGTGAGGATCTCCCCGCCATCCAGCTCGGAGGCGAATCGGTTGGCCTCGGCCCAGCGCCACACAATCAAGCGTGGGAGCTCAATTCGCATCAGCTGCTGCTGCCGCACCACGCGAAAGTGGAGGAGAACATCGTAGTCAATCCGAAGTGGAGTTGTCGTTTCTCCCACGGCGTCTTGTGCCACAAGCTCAGCGTAGTTTTCGTAGAAGCACAAATCACCGCCGGCAAACTGAGCAGCGGAGACGATGCAGCGGAGCAAAGTGTAGCGGGCGATAGACTGCGAGACACACGTCATGTCTCGTTATGTAAACTCACCACTCCTTCTCAGTTCTGTGCCCTTTTCTGGATGCTGTCAGTGTTTGCTCCACGTCTCCGTGTTGCAGGCAAAGACACAGACACAAAAAGGAAAAAAAAAGAAAAAAAAAACATTGGCATCTGATCGAAGCATCGCAGCAGCCTCTTGCTGTCAAGTTTTGTTCCCGACATCACTCCACACGGTGTCTTCAGCGCAGGGGAGGCCGTAGCCACAGGGCTCTATTCATCACCCCAACGACACATCCGTCCAGGGGCTGGCAATAGTCACTTCCTTTACTACCGTGGAGTGGGGCCCTGTGTTTTTCCTTTTGTTTTCTTTTGCTACACCGTAAACACAGCGAATCCAGCACCCGCAGTAGGCTCGTGGTGCTACGGCGTGCACCCGTAACTTCCAACGCGACGGAAAAGGGTTTGAGCGGCTCCCATCACTTCCGGCAATGTAACAAATCGCAAATCAGCGGTATGTATCCGCAACTGTCTGCTGACACTTCAGAAAACATATACGACAAAAAAAGAGCCCCTCGTGCTCCCTTTGTGAGTGCGCGTCATCCTAGCTGAAACCAAGCACCACAGAAGAGACAATTAAAACAGAAGGCAAAAGGCAACTAAATAAACAACAAGCAGTCTGACCCCCTCCCCCCAAGAAAGAAGTTTGAGTCGAAGCAGAAGAATATCAGGAAACGTCAAGACAACATTTAAACAACATGATGAAACAGCATATAAAGAAATTATTTTTAAAAAAGAAGAAAAAAAAAAAAACAGAATAAAAGTCCTCTCCAATGTTGTTTGTATTTGTGACCCACACACACACACACACACGCACACAACAAACATGCCTCCTCTCAAAGGTATATCGTGTGGGAGAAAAAAAGAAAGAGGGGTAACAAAAAGAATTCCATTTACATATGAATCGTGTATCACACACATTTCATTCACTATATAAGTCCCATTCACTCATTCTCTTCCCTTTTCGCATGACAGTTTTCAAGCATTCCCATCACTCAGATGCATTTTATCTCCTTCCGTGGACCCGATTTCATTCTTCAGATCCTCCTGCTGCTCACCCTCATGCTCTTGGGCAGCATCCTGCTTATAATGCTCTTGCTCCTGAGTGTCCTGCTCTTCTTCTTCCTGTCGGAATTCATCATGCTGTTTGGCATCTGGTTCAGGTTGCTCTTGGCTCAAGGATGCATACATGACGGTCTGTAGGACTGGTGACGGGGCACTTTCGTCCACCCGCGCCTCGGAAGCCCCTCTGCAGGTCACTTCTTCAGGGGATTCCGTCAGGGAACGCGGTGTCTCAGGGACTGAGAGCCCCTGCGAAGGGTGCGGCGCAAGGGAAGGCTCGTTGGTTTGACAAGGCGCTAATGTTGGGTCTTGCAAGGGTGTGTTCTGCAATGCGTGACGCTCCACCGTTGAGCACTCATCGTCTCTGGGCGCAGAGCCGCCCTCCAACTCGACAGGCAAATGCACGGGTGTGCCCTGCAACGCCAATTCGGGGTTCGCACTTTTTTTATCGGATACATCGGTGTCTCCAGGCGTCACGAAGCATCCAGCACTGTCCGGGGATAGGGTGGACTCTGGTTGCGGCGACTTTCTAGCCTCCAAGGATGTGGCCGCACGGGCGGAAGCCGCAACAGCGGCCGCGATGGCACGTCGCATGGCCTCAGACTCCAACGGAGCGATGATGCGAAGTGAAAGATTTATTGCGGGCCTGTCGCCATTGTCCACCATTGTCTCCTCACGACCGGCGCCGCCCTGGGCTCCCTTGAAGGGAGGCGTCGGAAGCCGCATCGACGACATGACATTCTCCCGCTGCTGTGGATCCTTCCAGAAGTTTGCCGGCACGTCGGCCAGGGAGCGGGGTTGGCCCTGCACAAATGTTGCGGGTATTTTCGCCTCCGCGGCCACGCTCGGCGCGACCACCGGCTCCACCGCCCAGAGCGACGACTGCGGCACACGCACACCACCCAGAACGGCCTGCATTGGCAGCACAGGCATCACCTCGCGCAGGTGTTCAGCCCACAGCCGCCGGTCCCCCTCGCGGCAGTACAGCCACTCCTCCGCGAGACTTTCCCTCACACTGCCTTTTCCGCGGTTGCTGTTGGAAGAAATGGGGCGTCCATCCATACGGCCCTTCACTCCAGAATTCAAGACACTGGTCGTATCCGCTAAACGAGTTACTGTAGCAGTATTCTCTGCTTCTGCTGCTGCTGCAGTATTATTGTCGGTGGTGGTGGTATCCTCCCCGCTGCCATAAACCAGCCCGTCTGCAAAGACAAATGTACCTGACACATTGCGTCCATTCTCCCACACGCCACGGTATTGTCCCCCGCCTCTCTCTGCGGTAAAAAATAATGTCCCGTGGCCATGCATGCGGCCATCATTGAATGCACCGACATAAGTATCGCCATTAGCAAAGGTGTATATCCCTTGTTCGTGAAAACGCTTCCCGTCAGGGGTCCTCTCCCCTTGATAGCTGCAGCTCGTATAGAACATAGAATTCTGCTAACCACCACGTGACCACCGCAGCAAGACAATATCTCTCTTCCCTGTTGTGTGTTGTTGTTTTTTTATTATTTCCAAAGCCTGTTTATTTGACCCCGCTTCTGGGTATTTGCCACCCTTTTTTTTTTTTTTTTTTTTTCTATTGGCTCCTTCTTATTTGGGCCGCTAGGCACAAATACGGCTAACCAATACAACAAATGTCCGGGGCTTAAAAAAAAAAAGAAAAAAAAAAGACGTATTATAATAAATCCATCGTTACACACACACACACACACACACAGAGGGAGAGAGAGGCACAGACACACAAAGACAAGAAGGCATACATGTCTCATCGCCAATAGGCCAATAAAGATATTCACACAATGCGTGGGTACACACATAAGTACTTATGAGGCTGTCTGTTTGTGTGCGTGTCTATGTGTGTGTGTGTGTGTGTGTGTGTGTGTGTGTGTGTTTGGAATATGCATACTCAATATACAGCCGTTCTGTATAGACGCATACAGACAGATTTCCGTGTATATTAAAATTGTCACACAAAAACACACACAAAAATACGAAGAAGAAAAAGCAGAGAAAAAAAAAAAAAAAAAAAAGCAAAGAAAAAACAAACACTCACTCACTCATTCATTCACACAGACGCAAAGAAGCAGCAGAAATATCCAGCACTAGAAGTTAATAACAATGCGCAAAGGCAGACAGGCACACATGGATACGTACACGCAAACATATTCATGCATGTATGTAAATTGTATTCTTTTACATATGCACTTCACACGCCAAGCCAATCCTAAGCAGCGCCAACCAACCAACCAAGCATCAAAACAAAAAAAAAAAAGAAGAGAAAAACCACCCAGCTCACTTCTACAACTGCCATCGTCTGTGTGCATCTCCCCCTCCCGCACTGCCGCCGCTCCTAATTCCGCCGCACAGCCGCACCGCCAAAGGCGCTCTCAATGCTGTATGTCATGTAAAGAAATCCATCGGCGTCCTTCCTCTGAGCGTAGAGGTCGCCCACGCAGGCGCTATTTGGTAGAACCGCATCGTCTATAAACAGAAAGATCGCCTGCTCCGCGTCAAGCACCAGCCGACTGCGCAGAAGAACCATAAGTTGCTGCATGGATGCGTCACCCGGTACGAGAAACTTGCTACAGTCCAAGTCCCGCAGCAGCCGACAGCGGTCCGAAATTGGGCCTGCACTCAGCACCGTGTCAATTGATGCGGGCTCGCACACAACAGGGACATGCTGCGGGAAGCGCCCGCGAATGGTCGCCACTTCCTTCTGGCGCTCAGCAAAAGTATGCGTGCGCTGGTAGCGATATTTGCGTGGCATATATATATATATATATATATATATATATATATATATATTATACGTAAACTGCAGGGTGTGCAACGGACCAAACAAATATAAATGGACACTACCGGTAAAAAGACTGTATAATAATATAAGTGTGCAAGTATGTATGCCTGTACAGAAGTGAAAAGGAAGATCAATCGTAGCGTATGCCGCTAATAATAAAAGTTCTCGTCGTCCACAACGGTTACCAACTACCAGCGCAGGGAGAGAGAAAGAAGGAAAGAAAAAAAAAAAAAAAAAAAAGGAAAAATAATAATAAGAAAACAAACAGGGACCGACGATGAGGAAACATCTCCGTTTGTGTGTGTGTTTATATATGAGAGAGAAACAGAAGAAAAAGAGGGAGAATCGCTCTTTACTCCCTCCCCCACATGTCAATACTCTCGTGGCCGGAGAGAAAAGAAAACAAAACACACACAAACACATTTATATAAACGACATGAAAGTAATGGAAAGGGGGAGGCCAAATAATAAAAAAGAAAAACTTTATATCTACAGCAAAAGAAAAGAACAAAAAAAAAAAAAAAACATATCGTTGCCATTCAGCAGCAAGCATAAATCACTGACGAGTGTTAAAGCAAACACACACACACAAAAAGAAAAAAAAAGTAAATGCACACATGTAAATTACACGTTGATGGTACAAAAAAATTAACATTAACACACACACACACATATATATATATATATAATTATGTACATTGTGCAGGGAATGTGGAAGGAGAAAAAAAACAAAAACAAAAACAAAAAAAAAACGGAAAAAGAGGAAAGAAAAAGACGTCCCGCAAGCCACATCATAATCATCAACCGTATTATTCACCACAAACTCTATCAAGTTGCATGTGTACTTGATTAAGTCACCTACTACCCCTGATCTCAACGGCATTATACATGCCTCACGTTGGGTGCAGCATTCCCTTTCCCTCTCCCCTCTGTTGATACCCCCTTCTCTCTCTCTCTCTCTCTTTTTTTTTTTTTTTTTTTGGTTGATTACTCGTCTTTGGGCTTGTCGGACTTCCGTTTCTTCGGATATTTCGCTCTTTTTTTTTTTCCATTTTCGTTGGGCCTCTCTACTGGGGTGTTCATGCGGTGAGTCGCGGTGGATTGGGACGCAGCGGTGAGAAAAACGGAGGCCGCACACACACACAAAAACACACAACCCACATGATGATGGTGACGTCGTCCTCGCTGGTCGCTGCGCGTCAATGCCGTCGTTGTCCCCCCCCAACCTGTCAATTGTGCGTCATGATGCCGACAGAAGATGTGAGCGGACTGCCGATGATGGTGCACACTCCGGGCTGCTGTCGCCATCCGGCCCATCGCCACCTAGCAGCAGCAGTGACGGCGGCATACCGTCATCACTCTTGTGCTCATCGTCCTCATCGTCCTTCTCGTCCCCCTCTGCAAGCCACAGCAGCGAAATCTCGCGCAGACAACCAACGATGTCTTTGTTGGCAGCGCGGCAGCCACGAACGTGGACGTCCACCTCGTCGATAAGGCGTTCAAGGACGCGGCGCAGCCCCTCCGCGTTCCGGGTGTCGCGCTCCACCTCACACTCTAGAATACACACCTCCTCCTCCAGTGCGCTCTGGCGCACGGCAAGAGAGTTGCAGTGGTGTCGCTCCACTGAAAAATCCACTGAGCTGCGCAACAATTCACTGCAAGCGGTGGAAGAGCAGCCACAGCGCGAGCAGTAGACCGTCCCCATCTCCCCTCCGTCTGCTGTCCGCCCACCGTACACTCGGGCGGATTCACCCGGGCACCTCTCCGTAAGACGTCGCAGCGCCGCCCTCTCCGCTGCACGTGCAGCCATTAAAAGGTCCTTGGTTTCATCCAGATGTGCCAGCGTCGTGGCGTGTTCGCGGACCATCTCTTCCTTCTCACGCAACAAAGACGAGATCTGTTGAACAAAAAAGCGACGTTCATCATGTAGTCGTCGCACTACACGAGATAATTCAGCCTGCAACTCGCCACATTCCCCGTTGGCATCGTGCAGAAGAAGTCCGTAAAACTCCAAACTATCCTCTACTTCCTCTGCGCCACTCGACGCACCCACGGCGTGTGTGCGTTGACCGCCAGAGGAACGGCCCAGGCATGTCTCCTCTGCACGAGCGGAAGCATCCCCCGTGCCGCTCGTTGCGGAGGCCTCAAAAACGCTATTCGCCCGCCCCGCCTCCCTATCGGCCGTATGCCGCAAAGATGCACCAACCCCACTTTCAGGGGACGTTGACAAATTCCTCGTCACGATGGCCTTCTCGCGTGTACGTTGCATCCACCCGCAGAGGCGCTGTTGCTCCAACTGCTTTTGGAGATGCCGCACTTCTTCCCGCAGCGAGGCGACGGTCCAACGCTGCGTTTCGCGGTCCAAATCCCACATCCTCTGCAGCTGCAGGAGTTCCTGCTGGCAGAGCTCCAATCTTTTTAACGCAGAAAATTCGGAGGCCCGAGCCACCGCCAGGAGGTGCTTGTCCATCCCACTACTAAATGATGATCCCACCGCCACCGTGTCGCTCCCACCAGCCGCACCAAAATCCTCATCCGCGGACGTCACAGTCACCGTCTTCGGCGTCACTGCCGAGGCGAATTCCAAATCAGCGTTTGTCGGACATGAGCTATCCCCACTGCCACACTCCCCCACACCGCATATTTCGCTCTTGTCGTGGGTCTTGGGCCCCTGCTCCCCCAGCAACCCCACACGCTTCAAAAGCCTCTCCATGTATACGTCCTAACACACCTACTATGGTTATCCTTGCACAGCGAATACAGGGACAAAACAGCCAAAGAAGGGGAAAAAGAAAGAGAGAGAGATGTTGACCGCAGATGTGTCCTCGTCTACTCTCAAACAAAGTTAATATACGCGCACCAAACACAAACACAGAAAGAGAGAGATAAGCAAGGGCATATAAGTACGGAAACACGCACAGAAAAACATATACGTCTACGCCTACTCTCATATTCATAAACTCGACGGCCTCCACCTTTTTCTTCCTCCTAACCCCTTTTCATAAAGAGTCGCATACTTCTTTTCGTTTATTCTCCGTGTCATTTGCTGCGTGCCTCGGCGTAATGATGAGAAAAGGCAGTGCGTAGGGCACAGCAGGCCACTGCAGCCATGAAGGGAGAAACAAACAGCAACCAGTAGGGGTGGGTGGGAAAGGAGCCTGAGTGATTTGAAAAAACAACGGGTCTAAATGAAAACAATGTACACAATACTCATCATGCATGCATATAGGCATGAAAAAGTCACTTTGAAAACAACAACAAAAAAGAAAAAAAAAAAAAAAGACGCAAAAAACTTCCACCGAGTATACAAATCCCTTCCTCTCTCTCTCTCTCTGCCTTCATCCTCCGCTCTCTAGTCTCGCGTTGTGAAAAATAACGTACATAAATTCTTTTCTTTTTCTTTTTTTTTTTTTTTGCCTTCAAACTGCCGTCATAAATAATCGTGTCGATCGTTGTTCCACCCCATCGTCACCGCACCCCCGCGGCAAACACACAGAGAGAGAAAAAGAAAGAAAAAAGAAAGTAGCCGAGGGGCTGCGGGGTGGAAGGCACCAAAAAAAAAAAAAAAAAAAAGAAACACTGAGGCTACTACTCCCCAGCAACAAAAAAAAAAGTGCCACCGGACGATCACACGCAACGATACGACGTGGCAGAAGAAAATAAATAAAGGCAGAACACAAAAAAAAAAAGGCTGCCAATCCAAAACAAGAAATTTGAGCAGAAACACACACACACACACACATGTGCGCATCGGCATAAAAAAAGAAAAAAGGGAAGGGAAGGTGGCAGAATCCCAGTGGAAGATGTTAAAGTTGCGTTGAGGCGACGACCGGCCGCAAAGACAATAATCGCAGGGCTCAAAGGCAAACCACAAAAAAAAAGAAAGGAAAAAAAAAGGAAATAATAAATAAATAAATAAAACACACGCAAAAAGAAAAAAAAAGTAAAATTGTAGAAAAGAAAAACAGTAAAACGCCGCAGATATATATATATAGATATGTATGACAAGAGAAGGTGAAAAGGAAAGAGTAACGTCCCGCAAAGAAATGTGTATGAGCATAACAAGCGACGATGGATGCATACAAAGAAAAGCATATATCCAGTCATGCATTTACGTGACAACACGCATACATTGAACAAGCGTCCATGGACACGTACACACACACACACACACACAGAGAGAGAGAGAGAGAGAAATAACATCCATAGCGAGTCAAATTGCCTCAATTGTTCCTTCCACTTCTTCCTTTTTATCTCATACTCTCAACCCTCATTTCTCTCAGATGATAATTTCTTCCAGCACTCCTTCAAGAGTGCCCTTCCCTTATTGTTGTTTTTGTTTCTTTGTTTCTCTTCCCCGCTTCTTTACATCTCTTTCATATTTGTTGTTTCTTACGGATGATGATATTCATTGGTGGGGAAAAGCAATTTTACCTTTACATGCATATATATACATATATATACATATATATATATATATATATATGTAAACATATTGTCTTCTTTTTTCACCACTCCTATTGCAGCGGTGCTAAGGTGCACCTGCAAGAAGCTCATTGCGGCACCGTCTTAATCGCCCTCGTTGTACTCCTCCTCATTTTCCTCCTCGGCGGAGCGCAGCAGGGCAATCTCGTGTAGTAACTCCTTCGCGCTTGTCGCCGACACCTGACATCCACGTATGCGGGAGTCAAGTTCACCCATGAGTTCGCCAATGTTTCGGTTAAGCACATTCAGCGCGTCTTCATGCTGCCGTCCCTTCACTTCCAGCTCCATCACAAGAGCCTCCTTCTCCCGCTTCAGTCGCTCCAACTGCTGCCGCATCGTCCGAACGGCATTTTTATCGACGTCTGCTACGGCGGTGTTTGCTTGCATCTCCGCCGCGGGAAAATCCGCAGCGCCCCCCTGCGGCGGCAGGGCGCCCCCATCCAACCCTTTCATGGCGCTCTCAAGCTCCCGCATCTCCTCGTCATGTGCGGCCTGCAGCTCAAACAACTCCTGCTCCCGCTTCTCTAATGCCATCAACGCCGACTTCTCGGCGGCACGTGCCGCCTCCAGCAGCCCGACAAACTCCTCCAACTTCCCAAGCGTTTCGGTGTACTCCATTCCCTTCGCCTCGAGCTCCTCCATGAGTTTAGAAATCTTGTTGTTCAGACCCTCCATCGCCTCCCGGTGCGCCACCGCACGTTGCGCCATCTCCTCTCGCAGCGCAATGTTCTCACTCTCCAGTTGCACAGCGTGCCGCTCAATGCCCTGCACGCGTTCCGCCTCGCTAAACGACTCCTCCGCGTTGTCGTCCGTCATCCCCTCCCGCGGCTGCCGGATCGCATGAAGCAAGTTGCGGTGTGCGTGTGTTACAGCCTCCAGCTCACGCAAGTCATCATCTCGACGTCGCTGCAACTCCAGTAACGCCTCTTCACGATTAAAAAGTTCACTCCGAGCGCTGCATTCCGCTTGTCGTGCCTCCTCCAACAGCTGCACCATCTCCTCCGACTTTTCCAGCATGTCTGTGTACTCCGTCGCCCGCTCATCCAGTTCATCCAGTAAATCTGACTCGCGCCGCTGATGGAGGGCATCCAAGCATCTAAAACCCTCCAGTGCACCCTCCAGCAGCGAGGAGATCGCAGACTGCTCAAACACCAAGCGAGAAATGAACTCCTCCGCAATGAGGCTCAATAACGGGTCAGCACCAGAGTCCTCCAGCTGCCGCAACACCTCGGCCCTGGCATCCGCACCATCCTCGCAATTCGCTGCTGGACCAAGGAGACTTTTGGCCTTAAGAAACGGGCATCGTCTCAGACGGCGGTCAATCTCGTCCTCAGACAAAAGAGGGTCATGTTCTACATCCACATCACAATAACTAGCCTCTGGACCAAACTCCACACCATGAATATCCGAAACGGGCAAACCAACTGCACTCGCCACATCAATATTTACAGCACGACACAACGCCTCCTCATTCGAGCGCAAAACCTCACCAAACCCAAAAACACCCAACAAACAACGATGTCTAGACAACACCTTCCCAACAGAAGAAAGTCCACGATCACCAACAGAACAAACTGAACGCAGCTGCTCGTTCTCCGCACGAAGCTCCTCCAGCTGCCGCTGCAGATCCTCCGCCTGCTCACTCAGCTCGTGTAGTCCACGTGCCTTCCCCACGTCCTCCGCACGCAGCTCCTCGTTCTCCACAAGAAGATCCTCCAGCTGCCGCTGCAGATCCTCCGCCTGCTCGCTCACCTCCTGCAGTCCACGCGTCTTATCCTCGTCCTCCGCACGCAGCTGCTCGTTCTCCGCACGAAGCTCCTCCAGCTGCCGCTGCAGATCCTCCGCCTGCTCGCTCACCTCCTGCAGTCCACGCGTCTTATGCTCGTGCTCACCGCGCAGCTCCTCGTTCTCCGCACGAAGCTCCTCCAGCTGCCGCTGCAGATCCTCCGCCTGCTCACTCACCTCCTGCAGTCCACGGGTCTTATGTTCGTGCTCACCGCGCAGCTCCTCGTTCTCCGCACGCAGCTGCTCGTTCTCCGCACGCAGCTCCTCCAGCTGCCGCTGCAGATCCTCCGCCTGCTCGCTCACCTCCTGCAGTCCACGGGTCTTATCCTCTTTCTCGGCGCGCAGCTCCTCGTTCTCCGCACGCAGCTCCTCCAGCTGCCGCTGCAGATCCTCTGCCTGCTCGCTCACCTCCTGCAGCCCACGTGTCTTATCCTCGTCCTCCGCACGCAGCTGCTCGTTCTCCGCACGAAGCTCCTCCAGCTGCCGCTGCAGATCCTCCGCCTGCTCGCTCACCTCCTGCAGCCCACGGGTCTTATCCTCGTTCTCCGCACGCAGCTCCTCGTTCTCCGCACGCAGCTCCTCCAGCTGCCGCTGCAGATCCTCCGCCTGCTCGCTCACCTCCTGCAGCCCACGTGTCTTATCCTCGTCCTCCGCACGCAGCTGCTCGTTCTCCGCACGAAGCTCCTCCAGCTGCCGCTGCAGATCCTCCGCCTGCTCACTCACCTCCTGCAGTCCACGTGTCTTATCCTCGTTCTCCGCACGAAGCTCCTCCAGCTGCCGCTGCAGATCCTCTGCCTGCTCGCTCACCTCCTGCAGCCCACGTGTCTTCTCCTCATGCTCACCGCGCAGCTCCTCGTTCTCCGCACGCAGCTCCTCCAGCTGCCGCTGCAGATCCTCTGCCTGCTCGCTCACCTCCTGCAGCCCACGTGTCTTCTCCTCATGCTCACCGCGCAGCTCCTCGTTCTCGGCGCGCAGCTCCTCGTTCTCCGCACGCAGCTCCTCCAGCTGCCGCTGCAGATCCTCTGCCTGCTCGCTCACCTCCTGCATTCCACGTGTCTTATCCTCGTCCTCCGCACGCAGCTGCTCGTTCTCCGCACGAAGCTCCTCCAGCTGCCGCTGCAGATCCTCTGCCTGCTCGCTCACCTCCTGCAGTCCACGGGGTCTTATGTTCGTGCTCACCGCGCAGCTCCTCGTTCTCCGCACGCAGCTGCTCGTTCTCCGCACGCAGCTCCTCCAGCTGCCGCTGCAGATCCTCCGCCTGCTCGCTCACCTCCTGCAGTCCACGCGTCTTATCCTCTTGCTCACCGCGCAGCTCCTCGTTCTCCGCACGCAGCTCCTCCAGCTGCCGCTGCAGATCCTCTGCCTGCTCGCTCACCTCCTGCAGTCCACGGGTCTTATGTTCGTCCTCCCCGCGCAGCTCCTCGTTCTCCGCACGCAGCTCCT